TGTGAACGACTCATGGACTCACTCAGCTGCACAGCCTTGCTTTAGGGTCAGCTCAGGCTGTCAGGGCCAAGAGACAACCAGACCCTCAGCCAGCAAGGGAGGGGCCTCATGGAGTATGTGCTTTGAGTGGCTAAACTGAGTAGCATGTGGACAATTCAATGGTTTTTGTTGTTGTTGTTGTTGTTTGTTTTTTGTTTAGATGGAGTCTCACTCTGTTGGCTAGGCTGGAGTGCAGTGCTGCAATCTCGACTCATGATAGCCTCCAACACCCTGGTTCAATGGATTCTCCTGCCTCAGCCTCCCGAAAAGCTGGGCTTACAGGTGCATGCCACCATGCCCAGCTAATTTTTGTATTTTTAGTAGAGACAGGGTTTCACCATGTTGCCCAGGCTGGTCTCGAACTCCTGACCTCAGGTGATCCACCCGCCTTGGCCTCTCAAAGTGCTGGGATTACAGGCATGAACCACCATGCCCGGCAGAGATTTTCATCTTTATTTTTGGCCTAGATAGCCAAGAAACTACATACAAATATGGATGTTCTGCAATTATTTAGCCCCTACTGTCAGATATTTACATTGCTGCCAACATCTCAGTGTTAAAAATAATACACAGGTGAACCACCTCACTCATACATCATCATGCATGTGTCTTGTTCAGGATGCGGCTAAGATAAATTCCTAGATGTGAGATCATTGGGTAAAAGGGTGGGCTTTGGACACACTTAACCTGCCTTTCAGAAATGTGCTCATTTGCACTCTCATTGCCAACATATCGCTCTGCATGCTCATTTCCAACGTGACCGTTTGCACGCTCATTGCCATGTCAATTTGCACACTCATTTCCAATGTGATCATTTGCACACTCATTTCCAACATGTCCATTTGCACATAATTTCCAATGTGTCCATTCACACGCTCATTTGCAACATATCAATTTGCATGCTCATTTCCAACATGTCAGTTTCCATGCTCATTTCCAATGTGACCATTTGCACACATTTCCAGCGTGTTGATTTACACACTCATTTCCAGCGGCCACACACTCCTCTGTGCAGATGTGCCTCGATTAGTATCAGCTGGTTTGTGCACAAGGACAAAGAAACAGAAGTTTGGAGAGAGAACTGAGGGAGACAAAATTCAGGGCTAAGCTAACGTGCCAGGACTTTTTTATGCAGCCAGAATGTTCTCTGTGGGATCTCTTAGCAAATAGTATGGAAGGGAGTGTAGTATTATAATAGTAACTAGCAATTACTGAGTGCCTGGCATGATTTTAAGCTTTTGTATCAGTTCCTTTGATCTTTACAGCTGTCTTTGGGTTTCAATCCTCACCCCTTCACCTTGGCCCTGTGATGCCATCGCCTCTACCAGCCTCAGTTTCCTTACATGGAAAATGAAGACACTGGGCAAGAGAAGTGGCTCACACCTGTAATCCCAGCACCTTGAAAGACCATGGTGGGAGGTTCACTTGAGCCCAGAAGTTTGAGACCAGCCTGGCCAACATGGTGAAACCCCATCTCTAAAAAAATGAAAAATAAAAAATAAGAAATGGCATGATATAGCTGGGTGCAGTGGCTCACGCCTATAATCTGAGCACTTTGGGAGGCCGAGATGAGTGGATCATCTGAGGTCCGGAGTTTGAGACCAGCCTGACCAACATGGAGAAACCCTGTCTCTACTAAAAATACACAATTAGCCAGGGGTTGTGGCGCATGCCTGTAATCCCAACTACTCGGGAGGCTGAGGCAGGAGAATTGTTTGAACCCAGGAGGCAGAGGTTGCAGTGAGCCAAGATCATGCCACTGCACTCCAGCTTGGGCAACAAGAGGGAAACTCCATCCCAAAAGATCACTTGAGGTCAGGAATTTGAGACCAGTCTGACCAACACAGAGAAAACCCATCTCTACTAAAAACACAAAAAATTAGCCAGGTGTGGTGAGACATGCCTGTAATCTCAGCTACTCAGAAGGCTGAAGCAGGAGAATCGCTTGAACCCATGAGGCAAAGGTTGCAGTGAGCCACGATCACACCACTGCACTCCAGACTGTGGAGGTAAACTGAGGGAGGAAAGGAAGGAGGAAAACAGTTCTCCAGGGTTCCACTCTGGATCCCTTTTGGTCATTCACAGGACCCCTCCTTGCAGGTGGATGAAATCTTGGGGGACCAGCCGACTGCCAAGGAGCAGGTGTTTACCTTGCTGAAGCAGTTTGCAGCTGAACAGAGGGTGGATGACCTGGTATGGGCTCTCACCCTGGCACTGCCCCGGGAGGCCAGCGGGCCACTCCTGGACAACCTCAGGTACTGTAAGCAGGGGTAGGGTGGACAGGCAGGGTGAGTCTCACTTAGGACCATCATTCCCCACAGCCACTCCAGGCACCCCTGCCCGCCCAGGTGGGAGATGGTGGCCTTGCTCTTGAACTGCATGGCAACATACCTGCAAGACCCAAACAAGGGTAGGCCAAAGACCCTGAAGGGCCACCCTGAGAAGGCAGCTCTTGGCTCTACCTGATGCCAGGGTACCCCCTTGAATGATGGGAGAAGGGCCAGAGCAGACCTCAGAGAGGATCCACCTTCTGATCTAAAGTCACCACCTTGGTTGCACACGGTGGCTCCTGCCTGTAATCTACACGCTTTGGGAGGCCAAGGTGGGGGAACAGCTTGAGGCCACAAGTTGGAGACCAGCCTGGGCAACATAGGGAGAACCCATGTCTACAAAAAACAAAAAATAGCTGGGTATGGTGATACATGCCTGTAGTCCCAACTACTTGGGGGGCTGAGGCTGGAGGATTGCTTGAACTAAGGAGGTCGAGGCTGCAGCACGCTATGATTGTGCCACTGTACTCCAACCTGGGTGACAGAGCAAGACACTGTCTAAAAAAAAAAAAAAAAAAAAAAAAAGTCAGAGTCTTCCCTGCACCTAGATTGTAGAAATCTCCAGCAGGATACCTGATGCTCCCAATCCAGCAGGATACCATATACTCCCAATCCAGCAGGGTATTGGATACTCCCAATCCAGCAGGGTGCCGGATACTCCCAATCCAGCAGGGTATTGGATACTCCCAATCCAGCAGGGTACCAGAGAGGATGATGGCACAATGTGAGGACAGGGAAGCCCAGGACTGTGTCATGTGGGGCTCCAGTATCCCCCACCCCCCGACCATCATGTGTGCTCTTGGCCCTTCATGATTACTTTTCTTTCTTTCTTCTTTTTTTTTTTTTTTGAGATAGAGTGTCACGCTGTCACTCAGGCCAGAGTGCAGTGGCACGATCTCGGCTCACTGCAACCTCCGCCTCCCAGTTGAGAGCACAGGCGCCATCATGCTTGGATAATTTTTGTATCTTTAGTAAAGATGGAGTGTCACTATGTTGGCCAGGCTGTTCTCAAACTCCTGACCTCAAGTGATCCGCCCACCTCAGCCTCCCAAAGTGTGTGGATTGCAGGCATGAGCCACTGCACTCAGCCTGATTACTTTTCTTGTTTTGTTTTATTTTGTTTTGTTTTGAGACAGGGTCTCACTCTGTAGCCCAGGAGGGAGGGCAGTGTCATACGTAATCTTGGCTCACTGCAGCCTCCAACTCCTGGGCTCAAGTGATCCTCCTGCCTCAGCCTCCTGGGTAGCTGGGACTTCAGGTGTGTGCCACCATGCTCGGCTAATTTTTGTATTGTCTTAAAGATGAGGTTTCATCATGTTGTCCAGGCTGGCCTCAAACTCCTGAGTTTAGCCAGTCATCCACCACAGCCTCCCAGAGTGCTGGAGTTACAGCTATGAGCCATGGTGCCCAGCCCTTTGATTTCTTTTGATGATAATGATGAATGTGTGCCAAGAATCTCAGCAGACCCTAGAGGAACACTCTTTGACTGAATCACCCAAGAGCTGTTATTAACCCCATTTCTCAGAGACAGACTGAGTCTCAGACAGGTTAAGAGACTGGCCTGAAGCCACACAGCAAATTGGTAGCAGTCACAGGATCAAGAGCCATGTCAGCAGTGCACTTTCTGCTCTTCCGCTCTGCTTCACTCTTAAGTTTTTTTTGTTTTTTTTTTTGAGACGGAGTTTCGCTCTTGTTACCCAGGCTGGAGTGCAATGGCGCGATCTTGGCTCACCGCAACCTCCGCCTCCTGGGTTCAGGCAATTCTCCTGCCTCAGCCTCCTGAGTAGCTGGGATTACAGGCATGTGCCACCATGCCCAGCTAATTTTTTGTGTTTTTAGTAGAGACGGGGTTTCACCATGTTGACCAGGATGGTCTCGATCTCTTGACCTCGTGATCCACCCGCCTCAGCCTCCCAAAGTGCTGGGATTACAGGCTTGAGCCACCGCGCCCGGCCCAAGTTTTTTTGAATCGGAGTCTCACTCAGTCACCCAGGCTGGAGTGCACTGGTGTGATGTCGGCTAACTGCAACCTCTGCCTCCCAGGTTTAAGCGATTCTCCTGCTTCAGCCTCCCAAGTTGCTGGGCACCACCGTGCCACCATGCCTGGCTAATTTTTGTATTTTTAGTAAAGACAGGATCTCACCATGTTTGCCAGGCTGGTCTCAAACTCCTGACCTCAAGTGATCCGCCCGTCTCACCCTCCCAAAGTGCTGGGATTACAGGCGTGAGCCACCAAACCAAGCCTGGCCTGCTCTAAGTTTATTTGTCAGAAAAAAAAAAAAAAAAAAATCCTGATGGGTCCTCACTTAGGGGAACCCAGGAATCTCCTGACACAATCTCCATCCTTGGAGGCCCTCGCTGCCATCCCAGCTTGGACCATGCCCGCTCCGGTCCGGACTGCTGCTCTCCCCCGCTGGATCCCGCCCGGTTTCCCTCCTCACCCGGCCTCCAGGGCCCACGACTGCTCCCCCATCCCTCCCCTCCCCCTTCCCCGGCTCAGCCCGCCCCCTCCCCTCGCTGCCATTCACCCCACAGCCTGCCCCTCCCTCTGGGCCTGGCCAATGTCAGGAACTGGGCTGGCCACCCTCCCCGCCCCCCACCCCACACCAGCCCGGGCGCAGCTCTCGGCTCTGCAGCGGAGCATAGGCGACCACCACCGAAAGAGGCCACCATGAGCTGCCTGGGGTGAGTAAGAGATGAGCCCCTTTCTGGGAGAATCAGAAGAGGGGAGAAAAAAGAAAAAAGTTATTTCTAGAGCAGAATTAGCCTCGGAGATGATGCGCTGGCTCTGAGCGCTTCCTGTGAAGCTGATGGACACGCATCCCCCTGCCCTGCCCCTCCCCACCAAGGCTGGGCAAGGGGGGCGCAGGCGGCCCAGCTGTCCCCCAGGAAGTAGGCTCATTCGTCTCCAGGCTGCTGGCAGCTGGGCTCGGCTGGAGGCCCTCTCGGTTGCCCACGTTTCCCCACTGCGCTGCTGGTGTCTGTTCCTGTCCCTCTCCCGGGCCAGCCCGCCTGCCCCCCGGGACAGCCCCACGCCCGCCTTTCGCAGCCGCTGCTGGTCCCCAAGCCGCCGGCAGCTGCAGCAGTGGGTAGGGCAGGACGCGGGAGGGGGAACCCCCTTGGGTGCGCTCGATTTAGAGCCTGGGCAGCTGGAGCCCTGGACGCCTGAGGATGCCCGGTCCCCGCAGCCTGGTACGGCAGACTCTGCTGTCAGCGCGTGTCAAGTGCGCCAGGAAAACTGGGGAGGCTGCTGGAGGAAGGGGTGGTGCCCAGCTGGGCTCTGCAGGGAGGTTACCCTGGCAGTACAGCTTCAGCTACCCCCCTCCCCCGACCTCTTCAAACCCCCGCTTCCCAACAACCCCCTTCCCAGGGCTGGCCTGTCACCCACAGCCCCACAGTGAGCTGGCCCTTAGGATGGCGGCAATCTCTGGGCAGCCCCACCTGGAAAAAGGTCAGACGGTCAGAAGGGGCGTGGAGTAGCCACAGACGCAGCTTAATGGCTGAGTTAGCCAGTTAATGGCTAACTCAGCACAGAGCAGCCAGGGCGGGCTTCTCGGAGAAGGCAGCAGGAGGTGGCTGTGCTGTGACTTAGTGACTGGTGGAGTCTAGTGGTGGGTCCTGTGGAGCTGGGAGGACAGTCCCCAGGGAGAGTTCAGGGTGAGGGCAATGCCACCCTGGCCTGTGGCATCCAAAAGCTCCCAAATGTGAATCACCCGATAGGGAGGAAAGGGGACCACAGAGAGCCACCACTGGGGCCCTAGGACCCCCAAATCAAGGAGATACAGGTTTAATTTTTTAAAGAATTTCTAAGTAGAGACGGAGGTCTCGCTGTTGCCCAGGCTGACCTGGCCTCAAGAGATCCTCCTACCTCAGCCTCCCAAAGTGCTATGATTATAGGCATGAGCAACCATGCCCTGCCAAGAGGCAAGATTTAAGTGAGAGGTTGAACAGCCAAAAGGTAGTAGGCAAAAAAATATACATGGGTGTGTCAAAGCTCTGCGAGGAGTTCAGGACCCACCCAAATCAAGAGAGGTGTGGCCTCACTAAAGGGTGATCCCAGAAGCCAAAATAGAAGGCTTGGGGAGAAGAGGAGGGAGCAGTGACACCATGAAGCTGGGCCACCTAGCACAGTAGCCACTAGCCACACATGGTTATTTAAAGTTAAATGTGGTCAGGCATGGTGGCTTATGCCTGTAATCGCAACACTTTAGGAGGCTGAGGTGGGTGGATCACCTGAGGTCAGGAGTTTGAGACCAGCCTGGCCCAACATGGTGAAACTCTGTCTCTACTAAAAATACAAAAATTAGCTGGGTGTGATGGCAGGTGCCAGTAATCCCAGCCACTCGGAAGGCTGAAGCAGGAGAATCACTTGAACCTGGGAGGCGGAGGTTGCAGTGAGCTGAGATGGAGCCGATGCACTCCAGCCTGGGTGACAGAGCCAGACTTTGTTTCAAAAAAAAAAAAAAAAAAAGCTAAAGGTAATTAATATTTGATAAAATATAAAGTTCAGCTTCTCAGTCTCACAAGTCATATTCCAAGCACACAACAGTGACATACAGCTAATGGCTACTGTACAGGGCCAGGTGGATGTAGACCTGTCCATCATTGCAGATATTCCCTTGGACAGCACTGCTGCTGTAAACGGTAAGATGGGTCCGTGGTCACCACGTAAGCAGGAAGTCTCCTCTTCCTTCACCACAGCAGTTACTCCTGTGACTAGGAGGCTAATTTGGGTCTGTCCCCAAAGGGATCCCAGTCTGATGAAGTGAGAAAATGGCTTTCTAATGAGGACAGGACAGGCAGTTTGGAAAGTGTGATATGGCCAGGAGGGAACAGGAAAACAGAGTTAGCTTTGCGATCTGCTAGTGTTTCAGGAAATATAGGTGGTGGGGTGGAGGGAAAGGGGTGTCAGGCTGGGGGCAGGTCATGGTGGAAGCTGGGATTTGGAATCTGGGCAGACCCCTCGCTGTCAGTCCAAACTCAAGCAGGTTCACTGACATCTATGGTTTGTCTGTAAAATGGAGTTGTTCGTTTCTGAGTGTTCCCAACAGGCTTCTTGATAGGAAACCATGTAAATGAGTGTAACGAACACAATAATACAGAGTTATCAGGGCTGGGCACAGTGGTTCATTTCTGTAAGCCCAGCATTTTGGGAGGCTGAGGTGGGAGGGTTGTTTAAGGAGAGTTCAAGACCAGTCAGGCCAGCATAGTAAGATCCCATCTCTATAAAAAATACAAATTTAAAAATTAGCTGGGTTTGGTGGCTGACGCCTGTAATCCCAGCATTTTGGGAGGCTGAGATGGGAGGATCACTGGAGCCCAGGAGTTTAAGGCCAGCCTAGACAGCATAGCAAGACTCCATCTCTTAAAAAAAAAAAAAAAGTTTAAAAATTAGCTGGGTACCTGCCTGTAATCCCAGTGATTTAGGAAGTTGAAGCGGAAGGATTGCTTAAAGCCAGGAGTAGAAGACCAGCCTGAACAACAGAGTGAGACTTCATCTCTACCAAAAAAAAAAAAAAAAAAAAATTAGCCAGATGGTACATGCCTGTAGTCCTAGCTACTCGGAAGGCTGAGGTGGGAGGATCACTTGAGCCCAGGAATTGGAGGCTGCAGTGATTCATGATCATGCCACTGCACTCCAGTCTGGGTGATAGAGAGCAAGACCCTGTTTCTAAAAATAAATAGGTAAAGAGAGTTATTGAGGGAATTCTATGAGATGTGTAGATAGAAACGCCAGGCATAAAATATGTGCTCAATTAATATTGGCTTCTCTTAGGGAAGCTTTCTTTTTCCCAAGAGCAGGTGTCTCAAGTAGGGCACTGCTGACATTTGGGACCAGAAATTTCTCTGTTGTCAGGGGCTGTCCTGTACATTGCAGGATGATTAGCAACATCCCAGGCCTCTACCCTCTAGATGCCATTAGCACAACCCCCTCTCAGTTGTCATTTTGTGACAAAATGCCAAGTGACTTTCACATATCCCCTGGGTGAACAAAATCATCACTGATTGAGAAGTACTTCTCTGGAGAATCTTAAGCAGTACCTTTTGCTGGAACAGACCCTTGAGGGAAGTCCGGCTGTTACCTGGCCCCTGATGATCATCTGGTGACTGGGTGACCACCTCATGCTGCCCTGGGTCACCTGGCCCCACTGTGCCCATCCTGAGTAGCATGTCTGGATTTGAGCCTGGGCATCTGCTCCCTTGTTGCATCTCCTGTGCCCACAGCATGGTGGACAGTTTCCAGAGCCTTTGGCCATGCCTGGTTCTGGATTCTGGGCCACTGCAGCTGGCACAATACAACTAGGAATGGCTCCAATCATAACGGGATGGCTGGGGCCCCACAGACATCAGAGAGCTATACGAACTGGTAGGCTTGTCAGCTGCTTCTCTCCCTGGCAGGGTTGAGGACAGGGCTTGGGGAGGGCATGGCATGAGTGAGCACTGGCTCTATTTCTTGGCTGCTTCTAGGGAGAAACGCAGCCCTGGGAGGTCACAGCAAGGTGATGGTCTTGCTGGGGCCAGCAATGGGGGTGGGGGGGGGGGGCTGCGGTGTGCTGGGGAGCAGTGTATGGACAGTACCAGAGACCAATGAACAGACCAATGATCAGCACAGGGCCCTTCCTGTGCTGCCCGCAGGTACCCACTGGCTGCACCATGGTAGTTGTTCCTTTGAGTGGGACAGAGGGAAAGTCCGGGGCCATCCCGCCTCTGCTGTTCCAGCCTGTCTTTGGAGAGGGCCTCATGCTGATGTTCCTGGTTGGGGGTGCCTCTGAAGAGCCACTCCCCAGGATGTGCCTTGAACTGGTTACCCAGACTGTATCATTTGTTCCTCAGACTTAATCTGGGCCTCTCCAGTGGCAATCAGGACTCCTGGAGACATGACAATGCAAGCAGGCACTCTGGGGTCCCCTCCTGCTGCCTCACACGGGATGGCAGGCCCAGAGTCCCCAGGGAAGAGTCCAGACCTCCCTTTCTGTCGCCTCCCTATCCTCCCCCTTTAATGCTCCTCCCCTCTTCTCTGCTGGCTGGGCAGGACGAGCGGCTCTGGGAGGCCTTCTACTCACCCCCTCCCCACTCACCTGGGGGTTGTCCCAGCCTGGGTGTCTTGACTTCACTGGCATTAACTCCCTAGGCCTCAGGCACTCTACCTCCTCTGTTTTGAAATCTGGCTTCTTGTCCCAACCCAACACCCCTTGCTGGGTCCCCTCCCAGCACCACCCCTCTCCTGGTGTGCCAAAACTTTGGAGTCCTTCCACCTCTTCTTGAACCCTGAAACCCTCCCACGGCTCCCTCCTGCTCCCAGAGTCGAGTCTCAGCTGCTGGCCACGACATTCAAAGCCTCCCTCTCCAGCCTCTTCTCGGCCACAGCGTCCCTCCCCCAACCCCATCCCTACCCCGGGTAGGTAGAGAGGGCTTCTACTAGCTGGCTGACTCCTTCTGAGCCCTGGAGGCCCAACGCAAAGGCCATCCCCTCCGGAAAACCTTGCATGCTCTACCAAAAGCCGTCGGGGCTTCTGAACGTCGGGGCTTCTGAACTGCAGGGACTGGCCACTGTGCGGGGGTCCGGGACGCAGTGGCTGGAGAGGACGCAGGGGAGGATCCTGGGGAGGGAATAATGGAGAGACCAAAGAGGAGTGAGCGCGGCGGCCTCAAACTTCCCGCGGTTTCCCCTGCACCCTAGAGTGAGACCTAAGTGGGGAGGGGGTGAGTAGAGGACCTTCCTCTACGGAGGAGAGGCGGGGCCACTGGGAGGGGGCGGGGCCCCCAGGAGGGGGCGGGCGCGGGGCTGCGGGCCCGGACGGTTCGGGAGGGGCCGCGCGCGCTCGCCGGACAGAGGTGCGTGGAGTCGCGGCGCGCTCGCTCATCTCCCGGGCTCGGATACCTGTTTGCCCTTCGGCACCTGCCCCGTCGCGGTCCCCGGCTCCAGATGGGGAAGGACCAGGGCTTCTCTCGGCACTTTCGGTAGCTTCCCCGTCGCGTCCGTCCTGCGCCTCCGGGAACCGTGCGACCAGTGCGCCACGGATCCGCTTCGGGCTGGTCTGAAAGGGGGTGGGGCCGGGGGCTTCCCTGCTCTGGGTGGGCAACCTCCGAGCCTGGGCGGAGCCCGGGGCCCACGGAGGTTGGAAATAAATTGGGTGGGTACCAGGGCGGAGAGGTCTAAGCGTTGGGCGCTCAGAACCCCGTGCGCAGCCCTAAAGAGTCGGTGTCGGGGCAAAAGGCTGGGATTGAAAGACCACGTTCCTTCCTACAACTGGGCTGGTCGAGGGGACATGACAGAGGGCCGAGACTGAGGTTGGGTGCTCTTGTGAAAATCTGGGCATCTCGTCCTGAGTTTGGGGGGGCACGACCTCTCCACTGCTGTGCTCCCTATGCTGAACCAGGGCACCTTGTCCTGGCTGAACACCACTTCACTGGCTGATGATCAAGAGAAAGCTGGGTGGGGAGCCAGGCACAGTGGCTCACACCTGTAATCCCAGAATTTTGGGAGGCCAAGGCGGGGTCAATCTCCTGAGGTCAGGAGTTTGAGACCAGCCTGACCAACGTTGTGAAACCCCATCTCTACTAAAACTACAAAAACCAGCCAGGTATGGTGGTGCATGCCTGTAGCTCCAGATACTCAGGAGGCTGCAGCAGGAGAATCACTTGAACCTGGGAGGCAGAGGTTGCAGTGAGCCAAGATCGTGCCCCTGCACTCCATCCTGGGTGACAGTCTGTCTAAAAAAAAAAAAAGAGAGAGAGAGAAAGCTGGGTGGGGACAGGGAATGGGGGGAGGGGTGTGGCGGTGGAGGACAGTGCCTAGTAGGAACTTGGTGTTGGATTAAGACCTGACCCTGGCAGAGAGAACAGAACTGACCCTGAGTGCAAGGTCATTGTGTGGCCCCCAGAGAGTCCTGTGGCCTCAAGAGAGGCCTGTTGGCTTAAAGTCCCAGGACAGTGATTGCTGGACTGCCAGCCAGAGGAATAGTGACTGTTGGCAATAGTTGCTGTGGCCCCACTGTTCCTGGCTCTGCTGGGTCAGTCGATTTAGGGCAGACCCAGGGCTGGGGACCCTGGGCCAGACTGAGCTACATGGAAGGTCTGTAGGAGCCAGGTTGGATGTCTGGCTTACCCGGCAACCTTGGCTTCTGTCTCACCCCAAAAAACATCAAGTAAGGAAAGGGCTGCCCAACCTTCTTTCATCTGTGCAGTTGGATACAGCCTGGTTCCCACCTGGGAGGGCAGGGCTTTTTCTTTTTCTTTTGAAACAGAGTCTCGCTCTGTTGCCCAGGCTGGAGTGCAGTGACTCAATCTCGGCTCACTGCAACCTCTGTCTTCCGGGTTCAGGCAATTCTCATGCTTCAGCCTCCTGAGTAGCTGGGATTACAGGCACATGCCACCATGCCTGGCTAAGTTTTGTATTTTTAGTAGAGACAGAGTTTCACCACATTGGCCAGGCTGGTCTTAAACTCCTGATTTTAGGTAATCTGCCTGCCTCGGCTTCCCAAAGTGCTGAGATTACAGGCTTAAGCCACCTCGCCTGGATGATAGGGTCTTTTCTAGCTGCTGCTGGAAGGTAGAGTTGTGACGTCCTCTTGACCCCTGCCCAGGTTGGACTGAGGGGTTGGGTGTGTGGAGTGATGTCTTCTTCAGAGTCTGTGGCTGGAGCCAGAAGTGAGGTGGACAGTCTCAAGTGGGTGTGGCCTTTCTCCTTTGCCTGGACATGAGGCTTGAGGTCTGGGAGGCAGCGGGGAATGCGGAGGCCAGGCAGATGGAGGGGTCAGCTCCGGAGACCTTGAGTGACCATCTTGGGGGATGAGGCTAAGTTTCTAGATTTGCAGAAAGCATTGCAGGTGGGTGGGAATGGGCACCGGGCAGAGGTGAGCAGGACATTCATCCTGGCCTTCTGGTCACCCAGATGATCCAGACTTGGAACAGAGCTCACTGCAGGGACAGAGCCTCCTCCCTGAGACTCTGCGCCTGCCTCCTCCCACCAGGCAACTTATTTTGCCTGCCTGGCCTAATTACTCCTATCCACAGAGGTGGAGGGAAGCATGGGGGCCGCTGGGACACCTCAGAGGGGTTTGTATTTCAGCTGACTGCAAGGCCACTGATCCCTTCTCCCTTCTCCCCATTATCTTGCCCTTGGCCCTGGCATTTGGTACAAGGAACAGGAAAGGGAGCTTTGGGATGCAGCCAGGGAGACCTCACAGGCAACCGGACCTTCAGGGGCTCTTGTTAGAGGTCCTGCCGCAGTGCTGAGGCTCTGAGGACTGGGCTCCAATGCCAACTGTGCCACAGGCCAGCTGTGTAACCATGGAGAGCTACTGGTCCCCTCTGTGCCTCAGAATCCTCTGCCACAGACCAGAGAATCCATCAGGACGTTAACTGCTGCCATTACTCAGAGATACGGGTAGGCTGCTGGCAGACCTCCTGTTTACCAAGCCTCTCCAATGTGCTGAGCCCTGGCCAATCACAGTGGCTCATGATTGAACTACAGACCTAACCCTCAGAAAGCCACCAAGGCTGGGTGTTGTAGCTCACGCCTGTAATCCCAGCACTTTGAGAAGTGGAGGTGAGAGGATCGCTTGAGCCCAGGAGTTTGATACCAGCCTATGCAACATAGAGAGATAAAAAGAAAAAGAAAAAAAAATGCTGGGTGCGGTGGCCCACCGCTGTAATCCCAGCACTTTGGGAGGCTGAGGTGGGCAGATCACCTAAGGTTAGGAGTTCAAAACCAGCCTGGCCAACGAGGTGAAACCCCATCTCTACAAAGATACAAAACTAGCCAGGCGTGGTGATGGGCACCTCTAATCGCAGCTACTCTGGAGGCTGAGGTGGAGGAATCACTTGAACCCAGGAAGCAGAGGTTGCAGTGAGCCAAGATCGTGCCATTGCACTCCAGCCTGGGCAACAGAGCAAGACTCTGTCTCAAGGAAAAAAAAAAAAAAATAGCCAGGCCTGGTGGCATGTGCCTGTAGTCATAGCTACGAGGGAGGTTGAGGCAGGAGGATCCCTTGAGACCAGGAGTTCCAGGTTACACTGAGCTATGATCAAGCTATGATCATGCTATGATCGTGCCACTGTACTCTAGCCTGGAAGACAGAGCAAGACCCTGTCTCAAAAGAGGAAAAAAAAACAGAGACAGATAGAGAGTTGCTAGCCCTGCAGCAGAGACCCACAGGCCTTCCCCCTGCCTCTCACTTCCAAGGTAACTCCTTTGAGAACAGGAGCCACAGTCCCTTCAGCTTTGAACCCCAGTTCCCAGCTGGCACAGATAGCAGGTGCTCCCTAAATACATGTAGTATTAAATTGAAAGGAGGCCAGTATTGGGTGTGGAGACTCGTTCAGCTAAGGAAGCAATGAATCGGAGCAGACTGGGTCGAGGGCCTGGAGAGAGCTTAAAGGGACTGAAGGAGGCAGAAGCAGGGGTCCTGGCAGATATGAGTGGGCAGCTGCAGATGGGGCTGGTCAGAGAAGCAAGCAGGAAGACTGAGGTGTGGTGAAGGGCTGCGGGAACTCAGACCTTGGGCTTGTGGGCTTCAGTGTCCTCCAGCAGAGCCACCTAGAGACGAGCTGGGAGACAGTGTGTTGTAGGGATCCCTGCCTCGCTCTTGGCCTGGCGGGTGCAGGGGCAGTAGGGGGAGAGACCAGAGAAGGAAGACAGAGGCAGGAGGAGGAACAGGTCTGCGGATTGGCTTTGTGGGGCTCGGACCCTGCAGAGGCCAGAGTCATGAAGGACGGTCTGAATGTGCCATTCCCGAGGTGGAGCGGGGGCGCAAATCCGAGCACCGAGGGGGAGACTGGGGTGCCACTGGCCACTGATCCTCCTCCAACCCTCCGCCACTCCTGGGAAGGGGCGGGAGAGCCAAGGGCGGCACCCACGAGGACGCCCCTTCGGGCCACAGTTTGCCGAGATCCGGGGTCCGGGGACGCGCTCCCACTCCTCCGTCCTCGCCGGCAGGATCTTCATCCCCAAGAAGCACCGGGCGCGCTTCGACGAGGTGGTGTCGCAGGGCCTCCTGGGCAAGCTGTGCCGCGCCCGCCGGGCCCAGGGCGCTCAGCGACTGCGCCGGAGCCGCAGCGAGGAACGGCCGGAGCGCCTCCTGGTGTCCACGCGCGCCAGCGCCCCGCCGCGCCGCCCCGACGAGCCGCCCCCGCGCAGGGCCTCCTTGCTGGTGGGCAGCCTTGCTGGCTCCGGGGGCGCGCGCAGGTAAGTGGGACTCACAGGCACTGGCCCCACTCTGAGGGTGGGCTCGGGACCGAGACCTGGGAAGAGTGCGCAGGAGGCGGGGCGGGGCTGCTGGGGTGCAGAGGGACCGAGAGGTTAAGGGGAAAGGGACACGGGACATCTCCCACCGCTGCACCCCAGGGCTCCTACTCCATCATGCTGCTCGCCCCTTCTTTTTTCCCCCAGGACTGTCCGAGTCTACAAGGGCAACAAGAGCTTCGGCTTCACACTTCGCGGCCACGGACCTGTCTGGATCGAGTCTGTCTTGCCTGGTGAGGGGTGGGCTGGTTGCCCTAAGAGTCCCTAAGGCCCAGGATGGGGTGAAGGACCCCGTGGTGGCTCTCCAGGGTCACTGTACCCCATATAGGCTCCTGCTCAGCAACCCTTTCCCTCTACATAAGATACCACCCTTATGTAGACGGTGTCCCCTGAGTGTCCCAGAGCCAGCGGATCTGAATCCCACTCCTAGCTAAGGTGCTTGAGGCCAGAGCCTTCTGCCTGAGTTGGGGTACCCCACCCCGGCCCCTCTAAATTCAGCATCACCCCAACCTGAGGGAGCCAGGTTCTGCATCCAGACCTTTCCTGTGTCCACAGGGAGGGTCAGGGCCACTGTCCAGGACCCTGGGACAGCCAGGACTGAGCTGGTGCCTACCCAGACTGTGCCCATGCTGAACTGGGCACTTGCCTGTCAGGCCAGACTCAGAGAGCCAAAAGGGCCTCAGGGCCTCTGCCTGTGACTCTCTGCCTCTGCCTCTAACCCCTGCTGGATCTGGACTCCCCTCTCCTACCACCCCACCTGCCCCTTCTTGTTCCTGAAATCATGCATCTTTTAAATTTTATTTTACTTTACTTATTTTATTTTATTTTATTTATTTTAATTATTATTATTATTTTTTTTTTTGAGGCGGAGTTTCGCTCGTTACCCAGGCTGGAGTGCAATGGCGCGATCTCGGCTCTCTGCAACCTCCGCCTCCTGGGTTCAGGCAATTCTCCTGCCTCAGCCTCCTGAGTAGCTGGGATTACAGGCACGTGCCACCATGCCCAGCTAATTTTTTGTATTTTTAGTAGAGACGGGGTTTCACCATGTTGACCAGGATGGTCTCGATCTCTCGACCTCGTGATCCACCCGCCTCGGCCTCCCAAAGTGCTGGGATTACAGGCTTGAGCCACCGCGCCCGGCTTTATTTTAATTATTTTTTTGAGACTGAGTCTCACTCTGTCTCCAGGCTGGAGTACAGTGGTACAGTCTCGGCTCACTGCAACCTCTGCCTTCCAGATTCAAACAATTCTCCTATCTCAGCCTCCCGAGCAGCTGAGACGACAGGCGCGTGCCACCATGCCGGCTAATTTTTTGTATTTTTAGTAGAGACAGGGTTTCACCTTGTTAGCTAGGATGGTCTAATCTCCTGACCTTGTGATCCGCCCACCTAGGCCTCCCAAAGTGCTGGGATTACAGGCGTGAGCCACTGTGTCCCCCCTATTTTATTTTAATGAGATAGGATCTCCCTCTGTCACCCAGGCTAGAGTGCAGTGGCACAATCTTGGCTCACTGCAACCTCCACCTCCTAGGCTCAAGTGATCCTCCCATCTCAGCCTCTCGAGTAGCGGGGACCACAGGCACATGCCACCATGCATGGCTACTTTTTTGTATTTCTGGTAGAGATAGGGTTTCACCATATTGCCCAGACTGGTCTCAATCTCCTTAGCTCAAGTAATCCTCCTGCCTTGGCCTCCCAAAGTGCTAGGAGTACAGACATGAGCCATCACACCTAGCCCATGTTTTATTTATTTTATTTTATTTATTTTGAGGTGGAGTTTCACTCTCATTGCTCAGGCTGGAGTGCAGTGGTACAATCTTAGCTCACGTAAGCCTCCGCCTCCCAGGTTCAAGCAGTTCTACTTCTACTGCCTCAGCCTCCTGAGTGGCTGGGATTACAGGTACCTACCACCATACCTGGCTAATTTTTTTTTTTTTTGTATTTTTAGTAGAGATGGGGTTTCTCCATGTTGGCCAGGCTGGTCTTGAACTCTTGGCCTCAGGTGATCCACCTGTCTTGGCCTCCTAAAGTGCTGGGATTACAGGCATGAGCCACTACACTCAGCCTATTTTATTTTATTTTAAGAAATGGGGTCTCCCTCTGTCACCCAGGCAGGATTGCATGATCATAGCCCACTGTAGCCTCGAACTCCAGGGCTCAAGAGATCCTCCTGCCTCAGCTTCCTAAATGTTGGGATTGCAGGTGTGAGCCACCAGGCCCAACTATGGCATCTTGAAGAAGGCAGCCTCTCCCGTGCAAGAATCCCTTTCTTCCTGCCACTCCAGTGGAGCAGAAGTGTGTGTGTGCTCATATTCATTGTGGAAGGTGTTTGTAGGGCAGAAGTGTCTCCTAGAGCAGAACTGAACTCTCCCTCCCTGTAACCACCTGCTCAGAACTGGAATTCAAGTGATCTTCCTGACTCAGCTTCCCAAAAAGCTGGGATTGCAAGTATAAGCCAGTACACCCAGCCCCACCTGGATTTTAACAAGCCCCTAGGCCAAGTATCTCTGGCTACACATGTGGGAAAGCCCAGGAGTCCAGCACTGCAGTGAGCTGTGATCCTGCCACTGCACTCCAACCTGAGTGACCGTGCAAGACCCTGTCTCAAAAAAAGAAAAAAAAATTCCGGGTCTGCTGTTCTCAACCCAACCCTCAAGCTAGTCATCCCATGTCTTACCTGTCATAGGAGGCCAAATGGATGCTTAGATGGAAGCTTTTACAGATGGGGAAACTGAGACATGGAGAGGCTCTGGTAAATTAGGCACCAGAAACTAGGATCTCCTGACTCCTGGCCCAGTGATCCTTGATCCCCTGCAACAGCCTCTCTAGTCATGCAGCTATTCAAGGCAGGCCAGACTGGATTCACCACCACCATCACTCTCCTCTTTTTCAGTCCAGGGAAAGGACTTCCCCCATCTCACCTCTCCCAGGAAGTCTTCCCTGATTGTTCCCCCTCTTCTCTGGACAGTTTCCATCTCCCCCAGAGAGAAAGTCTCACAATCTGAGAGTATATTTTATTTAGGCATTGATCATTTTCCCTACTTCTTTCAGAATTAAGTTTAGAATGATGACTAATAAAAGAGGCAGAAAAAGGCCAGGTATGGTGGCTCATGCTTGTAATCCCAGCACTTTGGGAGACTGAGGCAGGAGGATCATTTGAGTCCAGGAGTTTGAGACCAGCCTGAACAACATGGTGAAACTTCATCTCTACAAAAAATACAAAAATTAGGTGGCCGGGCACAGTAGGTCACCCCTGTAATCCCAGCACTTTGAGAGGCCAAGGCAGGTGGATAACTTGAACTCAGGAGTTTGAGGCCAGCCTGGGCAACATGGTGAAACCCCATCTCTACTAAAAACAAACACACACACCAGGTGTGGTGGCAGGTGCCTGTAGTCCCACCTACTCAGGAGGCTGAGGTAGGAGAATAGCTTGAACCCAGGAGGCAGAAGTTGCAGTGAGCTGAAATCATGCCCTTGCACTCCAGCCTGGGTGATAGAGCGAGATTCCATCTCAAAAAAAAAACAACGTAGGCCGGGCGCGGTGGCTCAAGCCTGTAATCCCAGCACTTTGGGAGGCCGAGGCGGGTGGATCACGAGGTCGAGAGATCGAGACCATCCTGGTCAACATGGTGAAACCCCGTCTCTACTAAAAATACAAAAAATTAGCTGGGCATGGTGGCGCTTGCCTGTAATCCCAGCTACTCAGGAGGCTGAGGCAGGAGAATTGCTTGAACCCAGGAGGCGGAGGTTGCGGTGAGCCGAGATCTCGCCATTGCACTCCAGCCTGGGTAACAAGAGCGAAACTCCGTCTCAAAAAAAAAAAAATGTATATATATATATATATATATATCCCAGAGTGGTGGTGCATGCCTAGGTCCCAGCTACTCAGGGTCTCAGGTGGGAGGATTGCTTGAGCCCAAGAAGTCGAGGCTGCAGCGAACTGTGATTATACCACTGTACTGCAGCAAGACCTTGCCTCAAACAACACAAAACAAAACAAAAAACAGAAAGTAATTCTCCTGAAACAAAAAGGAATCCCTAATGGGAGCTTTCTACACAGAGCTAAGAACAGTATATGGAGCAGGGACTCGAGACCTACTGATGCTGCCTAAGTACTGCTCTCTGGACCTTGCTCTTCTCCAGCATTGGGGGTTCATGCTGTGCCCCCGCTAGGGGATCACTCCCATGGTCCTTAGATCCTTAAAGCAGCTGCGATCGGAAATGTGCAGAGTCTATTACACGAATCTGTCGACCTTATTTGACTTTCCTCTGCCACCCATGCCTATGTATCTGTTTTTTAGTTTTTTGTTTTGTTTTGTTTTGTTTTTGAGACGGAGGTCTCGCTATGTTGCCCAAGCTGGTCTCGAACTCCTGGGCTCAAGCAATCCTTGTGCCTTGGCCTCTCAAAGTGCTGGGATTACAGGTGTTAGCCACCGTGCCTGGCCAGCTGTGGGTCTCTGAGTTTCCATTTCTTGCCTGTAAAACAGGACAGCATCCTGCTCTCGAAGTGGTACCCTGCCCAGCTGACCGGCACACCCTCTCTTCTTGCTTCCAGGGAGCCCAGCTGACAATGCTGCCCTCAAGTCAGGTGACCGGATCCTCTTCCTCAATGGACTGGACATGAGGTCAGAGGCTACTGGGGACACCAGAGGTTGGTGATGAGCTGCCCCACCCCCTGCAAGACTCCTGCCTCTTGGGGCACCCAGGCCATGGTCCTGATCTCCTCTCACCAGTTGGTCCCCTGGATCTGTCCCTCTTCCAATGGGAACTCTTGAATCTAACCCTCCCCCTCGCCAGCCGGCAACTCTAGCCAGGACCTCAGTTCATCCTTCCAACCAGAAAATACCCCAGCTCCATTGCTGGGGACACAGAGAGGCACAGAGGTGGTCTTGCTGTGTGGCCCCTGTGGGCAGGACAGGGAGGTCTGGCTGGTGGCCGTGGACAGGGCTCACCCCAGTCAGGCCCTCCTGGGCCCTCTCTGCTTGGCAGGAACTGCTCCCATGACAAGGTGGTGTCCATGCTTCAGGGCAGTGGTGCCATGCCCACGCTGGTGGTGGAGGAAGGGCTCGTCCCATTTGCCAGTGGTGAGAACCCCATGGACACTTGGCTTTCTTGGTCCACAGCAACCCTGCCCCGCCTGCTATGTGTTAGATTCACAGTGTGGAGGACTCGGCTCTTCCCCTAAACCTGCAGCTTGCCTTCCCAGGACTGCCCTCTAAGTGGTACTATAAAATCCCAGTGAGTCTGGGCATGGTGGCTCATGCCTGGAATCCCAGCACTTTGGAGGCCGGGGTGGGAGGATCGCTTGAGGCCAGGAGTTTGAGACCAGCCTGGGCAACATGGCGCAACTCTGGCTTTACTAAAAATGCAAAAATTATCTGGGTGTGATCATACACGCCTGTAGTCCCAGCTACTCGGAAGGCTGAGGCAAGACAATCGCTTGAATCCAGGAGGTGGAGGTTGTCGTGAACCAAGATTGCACCACTGCACTCCAGCCTGGGTGACAGAACAAGACTGTGTCTCAAAAATTAAAAAAGGGCCAGGCGTGATGGCTGACACCTGTAATCCCAGCACTTTGGGAGGCAGAGGCAGGCAGATCACGAAGTCAGGAGATCTAGATCATCCTGGCCAACATGGTGAAACCCTGTCTCTACTAAAAATACAAAAATTAGCCGGGCATGGTGGTGCACACCTTTAGTTCCAGCTACTCGGGAGGCTGAGGCAGGAGAATCACTTGAACTCAGGAGGTGGGTTGTAGTGAGCCGAGGTCATGCCACTCTACTCCCGCCTGGGCAACAGAGTGAGACTTCATCTCAGAAAAAGACAAAAACAAAAATGAAAAACCCTAGTGCACAGCTTCAGGGACCCTTCCCAGGGCTGACTCCCTCTATCCCTGGCCCCAGTGTCGGGCAGCAAGCATGTCTTCCCATGCATGGCACTGGACAGCCACACCCCAGCTCAGTAGGTCTGCTGACCTCAAAAGCCAGGGAAATGGCACCTGGCCTGGGGACTCTGGGTCACTCTTGCCTCTCCTGCCTGTGGTCCCAGCAGACTCAGATTCTATGGACTCGCCCAACCCGTCATCAGCGCTTACCTCCCTGCAGTGGGTGGCGGAGATCCTGCCATCCAGCATCCGGGTGCAAGGGAGGACCTTCAGCCAGCAGCTGGAGCACCTGCTCACACCTCCTGAACGCTACGGAGTCTGCCGGGCCCTCGAGAGCTTCTTCCAGCACAGGTGGCTGGGCCAGAGCTGGGGTGGGGACCTGCCCTGGGTGGGCCCTAAATCCTGCCTAGACTCACATCCTAGTCTCCCTGCCTGAGCCCCCTCAGTCTCGATCTCCTGGGGGATGCTCAGGGAGGTGGCAGCTGGTATCAGGGGCTCCAGGGTGGTGGGCAATTGAGCTGCCCTGGAACAAATTCTGACTCTGACTCCTCTGATAGCCACGTGACCTTGGGCAAGTCACAGCCTTCTCTGTGAAGTGAGGCAGATGGGGACCACCTGCCACATTCTTTTTTTTTTTTTTTTTTTAGATGGAGTCTCTCTCTGTTACCCAGGTGGGAGTGCAGTGATGTGATTTCGGCTCACTGCAACCTCCTCCTCCTGGGTTCAAGCGATTCTCCTGCCTCAGCCTCCCGAGTAGCTGGGATTACAGCCATGCACCACCACACTGAGCTAATTTTTGTATTTTCAGTAGAAACAGGGTTTCACCATGTTGGTCAAGCTGGTCTTGGACTCCCGACCTCATTGGTCCGCCCACCTTGGCCTCCCAAATACCTGCAGTATTCGTGATGGGACCCACCTGTGGGCACTTGTCATGGTCCAGGCCCTTGGAGATAGGGTTGGTGTCTTTCTTTTTGGACCTCTACTACAGCCAGGTGCATTTATCATAATCCTTGGTCCATGGGGTCATTTTCATGGTCTCCGAAAAGCCTGTCCCATTTCTGTACCTTTTTGTTTTCTTTGAAGGGCTTTGGTTTTTGGTTTTTGGTTTTTGTTTTGTTTCATTTTGTTTTTGAGACAGTTTCGCTCTTGTTGCCCTGGCTGGAGTGCAATGGCACAATCTCGGCTCACTGCAACCTCTGCCTCCCAGGTTCAAGCGATCCTCCTGCCGCAGACTCCCAACTAGCTTGGATTACAGGCCTATGCACCACCACGCCTGGTTAATTTTGTATTTTTATTAGAGACGGGGTTTCTCCACATTGGTCAGGCTGGTCTAGAACGCCCTACTGCAGGTAATCCACCGCCTCCGCTTCCCAAAGTGCTGGGATTACAGGCATGAGCCACCGCGCGCCCAGCCTGGTTTTGTTTTGTTTTTCAAAAAGGATCGTTGCGGGGGTCTCACTATGTTGCCAAGGCTGGTCTCCAACTCCTGGGCTCAAGTGATCCTCCCAAAGTGCTAGGATTACAGGCATGAGCCATTGTACCTGGCTTTAAAGAGTCTTAAGATGTAATTTACCCACTATACAGTTCACCCATTTAATTATACAATTCAGTGATGTTTAGTATATTCACAAATATGTGCAAACATCACATGGTCCATTTTAAAACTTCATCACATCAAAAAGAAACCCAGACCAAACACTTATAATTCCATCACTTTGGGAGGCTAAAGCAGGAAAATCGCTTGAGCCCAGGAGTTCAAAACCAGCCTGGGCAACAGAGCAAGAAGCCATATCTACAAAAAGAAAAAATTAGCTGGGCATAGTGGCTCGCACCTGCAGTTCCAGTTATTTTGATGTGGGAGGATTGCTTGAGCCCAGGGTTTCAAGGCTGCAGTGAGCCGTTATTGTGCCACTGCACTCCAGCCTGTGTGACAGAGTAAGGCCCTGGCCGCCCCCCCAAAAAATCAGGCCAATTGTAGTGGGTCACTCCTGTAATCCTAGCACTTTAGGAGACCAAGGCAGGTGGATTGTCTGAGCATAGGGGTTCAAGACCAGCCTGGGCAACACAGTGAAAACCTGTCTCTACTGAAATACAAAAAATTAGCCAGGCATGGTGGCGTGTGCTTGTAGTCACAGCTGTTTGGGAGGCTGATGCAGGAGAATTGCTTGAACCCAGAAGGCAGAGGTTTCAGTGAGCCAAGATCACACCACTGCGCTCCAGCCTGGGCAACAGAACAAGACTTCATCTTCTCCCCACTCAAAAAAAAAAAAAAAAAAAAAAAAAATTCATTGTGCTTTGTAGAGTATTTTGTGTCTGACTTATTCACCAATTAATGTGTTTAGCTCTGTCCACATTGCTCTGTGTATTTATCATACACTGATTATAACTGCAGTCAAAGTCCTGTGGATCACAGTGGTGTCCAACTTTTTATTTTTGTTAGTTTCTTAGCCATAGAAGTGACATCCTGTTATTTTAATTTGGTTTTCTTCTATTACTAAGTATCTTTTAATATGCTTATGAACTTTTTCTGGGATTTTCTCTATAAATTACCTGTTCATATCCTTTGTCCATTTTTGTTTTCTTGGACTTTTTGTTCTTGTTGACAGGCATGAAGTTCCTTGTATATTTTATTTTATTTTCTGAGACAGGGGCTCACTCTGTCATCCAGGCTGGAGTGCAGTGGCACAAATACAGCTCACTGCAGCCTAAAACTCCCAGGCTCAAGTGATCCTCCTACCTCTGCCTCTCAGGTAGCTGGAACTACCATGCCCGCCTAATTTTTTTTTTTTTTTTTTTTTTTTAGTAGAGACAGGGTTTTGCCATGTTGTCCAGGCTGGTCTTGAACTCCTTGGCTCAAGTGATTCGCCCACCTCAGCCTCCCAGAGTGCTGGGATGACAGGCATGAGCCATGATGCCTGGCCACCCTGGTACATTTTAAACACTGATTTCTCCTTGATTTTGAATGTTGTACATTTCTCTCCCATGTTACTTTTGTTATTAGGTCTGTTGTGTCTAATATTAATGTGTCTAAGTTGGGCTTCCTTGATTTTGCATAGTCAAACTGGCCATATTTTTGGTTTTAGAGTTTTGGCTTTTGAAATTTTAAGAAGTCCTTCCCTGCCTCTAGGTCAAAAGATAGTCTCCTCCTTTATTTTTATTGATTCATTTATTTTTATTTATTATTATTATTTTGAGATGGAGTCTTGATCTGTTGCCCAGGCTGGAGTGCAGTGGCTCAATCTCAGCTCACTGTAATCTCCACCTCCCAGGTTCAAGTGATTCTCCTGCCTCAGCCTCCCCAGCAGCTGGGATTGCAGGCACATACCACCACACCCAGCTAATTTTTGTATTTTTATTAGAGAGGGGGTTTCACCATTTTAGCCAGGCTGGTCTCGAACTCTTGAGCTCACAATCCACCCACCTTGGCCTCCCAAAGTGCTGAGATTACAGGCGTGAGCCACCGTGCCCGGCCCAATTTTTTTTTTTTTAATTTTTTTATTTTTTGAGACAGAGTCTTGCTCTGTGGCCCAGGCTGGAGTATAGTAATGCAATCTCAGCTCACTGCAACCTTTGCCTCCCAGGCTCAGGTGATTCTTTTGCCTCAGCCTCCTGAGTAGCTGAGATTACAGGTGCGCACCACCACACCCACCAAATTTTTGTAATTTTTGTAGAAACGAGGTTCACCATGTTTACCAAGCTGATCTCAAATTCCTGATCTCAGATGATCTGCCTGCCTCAGCCTCCCAAAGGGCTGAGATTACAGGCATGAGCCACCATGCCTGGCCTGCTCTATATGTTTTTTGTTTTTTTGAGACAGAGCCTCACTCTGTCACCCAGGCTGGAGTGCAGTGACGCGATCTTGGCTCACTGCAACCTCCACCTCCTGGGTTCAAGCAGTTCTCCTACCTCAACCTTCTAAGTAGCTGGGACTACAGGTGTGTGCCACCATGCCCGGCTAATTTTTGTATTTTTAGTAGAGTTGCAGTTTGACTAGTTTAGCCAGGCTGGTCTCGAACTCCTGACCTGAGGGAGTTCTCGAACTCCACCGTCTCAGCCTCCCAACGAGCTGGGATTACAGGCATGAGCCACCAGCCTGGCCTGCTTTATATGTTTTAATCTTCACAACAGCTCTATGAGGTAGATGCTATTTTTATCACCATTTTACAGATGAGGAAACTGAGGCACAGAGAAGGTAAGTCACTTGAGAAAGGTCACTTAGCTGGTAAGTGGCAGAGCTGAGATTGGAGTCTGGCTACCCTGTCCCCGGAGCCTGCCTTCCTGCTTACTTTTTTTTTTTTTTTTTTTTTTTTTTTTTTGAGACACAGTCTCACTCTGTTACCCAGACTGGGGTGCAGTGGCGTGATCTTCACTTCCCAGGCTCAAGTGATTCTCCTGCCTCAACCTCCTGAGTGGCTGGGATTACAGGTGCATGCCACCCCGCCCAGCTAATTTTTATATTTTTAATAGAGATGGGATTTCACCATCGCGGCCAGGCTGGTCTCTAACTCCTGACCTCAAATGATTCACCTGCCTCAGCCTCCCAAAGTGCTGGGATTACAGGCATGAGCCACTGTGCCTGGCCCCCACTTCTCTGTCTTTCAAGGGCAGGGATAGGGCATGAGGCCAGAGGCTGTGGCCTGGAAGTGCCATCTTGTCCACCCCCACTCTGTCATCATGGTGATCCCCTGAGTATTGAGCCTTGCCTTCCCGCACCCTCACCCAGGAACATCGACACGCTCATCGTTGATGTCTACCCCGTGCTGGACACCCCTGCCAAGCAGGTCCTGTGGCAGTTCATCTACCAGCTGCTGACCTATGAGGAACAGGAGCTCTGTCAGGAGAAAATCGCATGCTTCCTGGGCTACACTGCCATGACGGGTAGGCGTCTTCTCCCCTGCCCCTTCCCTGCCTGCTGCTGCTGACTGTCCAACCAACCAGGTTTGAGACTGTCTCAAACAAAAAGGAAGGAAGAGAGGAAGATAAGAAGGGAGAGCCGCTGCAGAGTTGCTGGCCCACAGTTTACTAGGATTTTACCAAGATGCTCGGGCTCTGTGCTGGATGGCACATGTCTTACATGTCTGCCTAGACTCAAAAAAGTTGTATTTTGGCTGGGAGCAAGTGGGTCACGCGTGTAATCCCAGGGCTTTGGGAGGCCGAGGCAGATGGATCACCTGAAGTCAGGAGTTTGAGACCAGCCTTGCTAACATGCTGAAACCCCTTCTCTACTAAAAATACAAAAAGTTAGCCAGGTGTAGTGGCAGGCACCTGTGATCCCAGCTACTTGGGAGGCTGAGGCAGGGAAATTGCTTGAACCTTGGAGGGGGAGGTGGCCGTGAGCTGAGATGGCACCATTGCACTCCAGCCTGGGCAACAATTGCAAAACTCTGTCTCAAAAGAAAAACAAAACTATATCGACATAATCCTCTCTGGGCAGCAGTGACTTGGCATGGGGTGAGCACAAGGCGTTGAGACTCTGGAAACTTTTTTTTTTTTTTGAGACGGAGTTTCGCTCTTGTTACCCAGGTTGGAGTGCAATGGCGCGATCTCGGCTCACCGCAACCTCCGCCTCCTGGCTTCAGGCAATTCTCCTGCCTCAGCCTCCTGGGTAGCTGGGATTACAGGCACGCGCCACCATGCCCAGCTAATTATTTTTGTATTTTTAGTACAGATGGGGTTTCATCCTGTTGACCAGGATGGTCTCAATCTCTTGACCTTGTGATCCACCTGCCTCGGCCTCCTAAAGTGCTGGGATTACAGGCTTGAGCCACCGAGCCTTTCGAGACTCTGGAAACTCTTGTCATGAGATCTCTGCTGGGCCCCCGAGCTCAGGCCAGCTGCATTCTGGTGCTGCTCCCAGCACCTGGTTTCTTGCCCCAGGGCTTCCCCTCCAGAGCTATTCTGGCAGCAAGCAGGGCAGGCCCCGTAGCTTGGGGTCCACATATTGCTTCAGATGACATCTGCCCTCCCATCCCTGTTTTGGAGGTCCCTTTTCTGGCTGAAAGGACAAGAGGGCCCCATGTTCCCTGTGTGTCCCACAGCAGAGCCGGAGCCTGAGCTTGACCTGGAGTCGGAGCCCACGCCTGAGCCCCAGCCCCGGAGCTCCCTGCGGGCCTCCTCCATGTGCCGCCGCAGCCTCCGGTCGCAGGGCGTGGAGGCCGGCCTCAGCTGCGGTAAGGCTGGTGTCGAGGTTGGGGGTACTGAGTGGAGCTCAGTTTTTCTACCTGCAAAATGGGCTTGGTGGCAGGGGAATCCCAGGGAATGGGGATAAGCAGGGCTCAGGAGTCGCCCTCCTGGGTCTGCCAGTCCTGTTGGTTCTGGGCTGGGGCCTGAGCCTTAGAGCTCAGATATGGTAATGACATTGTTCTCTGGTAGGTCCCAGTGAGTGTCCTGAGATGCCTCTTTCCCTGATCCCAGGCGAGCGCCAGGCGGGCGATGGCACATCCCTCCCTGAGACCCCCAACCCCAAGATGGTGAGACCTTCTCTCTGCCCTCCAGGTGGGGTCAATAGGGGACAGGGAATGGATGGTCCATGGGACTGGGCCCAGGAGATCCAGGCCAAGGCGCCTCTGTGGCTGCTTCAGGCTGGGACAGATCTCTGCCTCCCACCCTACCCAGGCCTGGCCTCTGAGGCCAAAAGTTAGGGCTGCGAGGGGAAGTAGGGTGGGCTGGACTCACCCTACCTCCCTCCAGATGTCAGCCGTCTATGCAGAGCTTGAGTCTCGACTGAACAGCAGCTTCAAAGGGAAGATGGGGACCGTGTCCAAATCCCGGGCTTCCCCTCCAGGCCCCAGCCCGGCAGTCGCTGCAGGTAGGGCTCCAGGCTCTGTCATCTTGACAGTCTAGGTGTTACCCTCAACCCCAGGCTCAGCCCTGGAGCTGCTTCTCTGCTACATCAGAGTCAGGGTTGCCCCAGTCCCTCCCATGGCCCTGTGATCCTCACCCCAGTTGCTGAGCACCAAAGTAGCCTGGGCACACCTGTAATCCCAGCACTTTGGGAGGCCAAGGCAGGAGGATCGATTGAGCCCAGGAGTTTGAGACCAGCCTGGCAACATAGTAAGACCTATCTCTACCAAAAAAAAAAAAATTGGCTGGGCATGATTGCATATACCTGTAGTCCCAGCTCCTCAAGAGGCTGAGGTGGGAGGATCGCTTGAGCCCAGGAGTTCAAGACCGAAGTGAGCTGTGATCCAGGCACTGCACTCTAGCCTAAGCAACAGAGCAAGACCCTGTCTCAAAAAAGACAAAAACAAAAGAAAGAAAGAAAAAGAAAAAGAAAGCAGATGTCTGTTTCTGAAGAAGTCCCGAGTTAGCATGTGGTTATCAGATAAACTATCAAGTGCATGCATTGTTCTGTGAATGGCACAGCTGGGAAGACAGTTGCTCTGCAGGTCAGAAGGTAGGGCCCCTGGGAGGTCCTCCTGTGAGCTCAGGGCTTGCCGGGTGTGGGAGATGCCCCGTGACTCTGGTCTGGACCCTAGAGAAGCCCCTTTACCCTTTGAGTTAGTGATGTTCAGTGGCTCCCAACTGGGTCCCCTGTGACCGTTCCAAGGTGAGCTGGCATCCAGCCTGTCCTGGGGCTGAGTGGTGCTCCTGCTCACCAGGCCTGGCCTTTGGTCATGTTTGGAAGGCAGGGCCACCCAGGGTCTTCCTGTACTATGCCCAGAGAGGGAAAAGGGAGTGCCCCAGGACACAGAACCAGCCTGCCCTGGGCCCTCTCTCCAGCTTGCACCTGCAGCCTCGGTGCTGGCTGAAGAGGGATCCTCACACTGCATCCCCCCACCAGGGCCCAGGACCCTGTCCGGCGTCTCATGGCCCAGCGAGCGACTCCTGCCCTCCCCTTGCTACCACCCGCTGTGTTCTGGGGGCCTGGCCTCCCCCAGCAGCTCTGAGTCCCACCCTTACGCCAGCCTGGACAGCAGCAGGGCGCCCTCCCCACAGCCAAGCCCGGGGCCCATCTGCCCCGACAGCCCCCCAAGCCCAGACCCTGCCCACCCGCCCAGCCGCAGGAAGCTTTTCGCCTTCTCCCACCCTGTGCGAAGCCGTGATACTGACCGCTTCTTGGATGTGCTGAGTGAGCAGCTCGGCCCCCGGGTCACCATTGTGGATGATTTCCTGACCCCTGAGAATGACTACGAGGAGGTGGGTATGCAAGCAGGTGTGGAGGGAGGTGGGTGAGGCTTGGTGTGGAGGTGTGCAAGGCAACAGTGTCCCTGGGCTCCTGCAAGGGCCTGCTGCCCTTGGGATCTTCCCCAGGCTATCCCACTCCCTGGCTCAAGCTAGCCCACCCTTTTCCCCAGGTTACCCTATATCTTGTTTGAGGTTATCCTGCTCCTTGTCTGAGACTAGCCTGTGCTCCCTATTCCATGTTAGCCCATTCCTTAGGCCAGGCTATCCCACATAGCCTGAGTCTAACCTGTGAGATGGTCCTATCCTTATCCCAGGCTATCCCCTTCACAGCCTAAGGCTAACCCATGAAACACTGCCCTATCCTTGTCCTAGGCTATCCCATGCACAGCCTGAGGCTAACCCATGACACTGCCCTGTCCTTGTCCCAGGCTATCCCCTTCATAGCCTGAGGCTAACCGAAGAGACAGTCCTATCCTTAGCCCAGGCTATCCCCCTCACAGCCTGAGGCTAACCTGTAAGACTGCCCTATCCTTGTCCCAGGCTATCCCATGCACAGCCTGAGGCTAACCCATGAGACACTGCCCTATCCTTGTCACAGACTATCCCATGCACAGCCTGAGGCTAACCCATGAGACAGTCCTATGCTTAGCCCAGGGTATCCCCCTCACAGCCTGAGGCTAACCCATGAGACTGCCCTATCCTTGTCCCATGATCCTTCACCTTGCACCTGCTCTAGTCTCTCTGGGCCCAGCCTCATCCTCCCCTTGCCTCTTTTTCCACCACCAGATGAGCTTCCACGATGACCAGGGTAGCTTTGTAACCAATGAGCGGAGCAGCGCCAGCGACTGCGTCAGCAGCAGTGAAGAAGGAAGCTCCCTGACCTACTCCTCCATCTCTGACCACATCCCACCACCCCCACTCAGTCCCCCACCACCGCCACCCCTGCCTTTCCATGACCCCAAGCCCAGTTCCCGCAGCTCTGATGGTTCCCGGGGCCCTGCTCAGGTGCTGGCCAAGCCCCTCACCCAACTCAGCCACCAAGTCCCTCCACCACCCCCACCACCCCTGCCCCCACCTGTGCCCTGTGCACCCCCCATGCTGTCCCGGGGCCTGGGCCATCGGCGCAGCGAGACCAGCCACATGAGTGTCAAGCGCTTGCGGTGGGAGCAGGTGGAGAACTCCGAAGGCACCATCTGGGGTCAGGTGGGTGACCTGGGAGCCACCAGTGCTCTGTACTGGGGGAGGATGACTTGGGAGGTAGCACTGAAGGAAAATCCATCTTCCAGGCATCTTCCAACATCATACTCCCTACCCCAAGCAGAGGATGAGTAGAGCCCCAGCCCAAGGACATGCCCATGCTTGAAGCAAATCTATGTCCCTAAGCCAAAAACCCACACGGGGGACACCTGAAAAGGCCACCCTACCCATCCTTGAAATCTATCACTCTTGAGGCCAGACAAGTTCGCTTAAACCGTTAAAAGAGCAGCTGGTTCAAACTCCTGCATACCAGCCTTCAGTCTTTCACTTTGATGCTTGAATTTCTTCCTGCACAACTCTGCCAGTGTATACTTGAACACCTTTGGTTATGAAGAACTCCCTACCTGTCAAGGTCTTTTCTCACTGGATGATTTTAACCATCCTTTGTCTTCCTCTGAAATCTTGTCTCCCCAAGATTCCCCTGCCCTGTTTTCTGTCTGTCTGGCCCTTGAAATCAGGCAGAGCAATCTTTTTTTTTTTTTTTTTTTGAGACAGTCTCGCTCTGTCACCTAGGCTGGAGTGAGGTGGCATGTTTTCAACTCACTGCAACTTCTGCCTCCCTGGTTCAAGCGATTCTCCAGCCTCAGCCTCCCAAATAGCTGCGACTACAGGTGTGTGCCACCACATCCGGCTAATGTTTTGTATTTTAGTAGAGATGGGGTTTCACCATGTTAGCCAGAATGGCCTCCGTCTCCTGACCTCGTGATCTGCCCACCTCAGCCTCCCAAAGTGCTGGGATTACAGGTGTGAGCCACTGTGCCCAGCCAGGCAGAGCAATCTTAACCACACACCAACCAATCTATGAGATGAACAAGGTTGACCCCACCCCTTTTTCCCTTTTTTTTTTTTTTTCAGGTCCAACCCCACATTCCAGTGTCCATGTCCCTGTCAGAGACCTTCCCAGAAGGAACCCTCAATGGGGTTTGACCAGCTCTGAGGAGAGAACAGCGTTCTCACCTCCTTTAACCCCGACATCACACTCCTTTTAATATGGCAGGGGCTCCTTCAGCCCCCAGGGCTTCCCCATCCAGTGCTCATGGTCACCATCATCCTTAACCCCATCTTCTTGGGACCAATAGCATGCTCTCACATGTAGTCATACTAGACAGAGGCATGCTTGTGATTTTTCCCCACTGTCATCTTCTGAGTCCCAATTCTGTCTCCTGCTCTCTCAGCCAAGATATTATCAGCCCCCATCTTCAGGGAACCCTTCCAAGTTGCTAATAAAGAAGACCAGTGAGGCCAATTGTGGTGGTTCATGCCTGTAATCCCAGCACTTTGGGAGGCTGAGGTGGGAGGACTGCTTGAGCCCAGGAATTCAAGACAAGCCTGGGCAAAATAGTGAGATCTCGTCTCTACAAAAAAATTAACCGGACGTGGTGGTGCATGCCTGTGGTCTCAGCTACTCAGGAGGCAGTAGGATCACTTGATTCCCAGAGGTGGAGGTTGCAGTGAGCCAAGATGGCACCACTGCACTCCAGCCTGGGGCACAGAGCAAGGCCTTGTCTCAAAAAATCAATCAATCAATCAATCAATAAAAATTAAAAATTAAAAAAGAACTCAGTGAGACAAGGATACAAATAGGGATCTCCTGGGTCTCCTGGAGACCTCACTCCTGCCAACCTTGGACCAATCTTCAAGCCTTGCTCCACAGCATGGTTCTTCTACTGGCTGCCAAAGACAGACACAGGGATATAGGTCACACATCTGGCCAAGCTCAAATCCATCCTCGGTGTCCCTGCCCCACAGCCATGTTCTAAGACTTCATTCCCCTGCTTACCCTCCCCTTAGGTTCTCTCCCTGTGGCAGCCACCCCATCTTCACTCCCTGTCCCAGCCCCAGGCTGTCACCTCTCATCTATGCCATTCATCACAGCCATGTAGCCTGCACCAAGCCCCTAGGCTTCCAGCATCAGCCCACTCTGCCCAGGGCAGCCCTAGTGAACTCACTGCCCCCAAAGGAGACCTGATAACAGAGCCAGACCCCTGAGCCACCTCCAGTAGCCCCTTACTTGGCTCTAGCCTCTGCACAGCTCCTTCATGCCCCAGCTCCATCCCCACCTTGCTGGCTTCTGCATGGGTAGAGTTCCAAGTCTGAGTCTCAATTGATCCCAAGAGGCGCTGGCTTAGCACTGGTGACTCAGATGATCTGGCTCCTGCAGTCTCCTCCTGCTCTGGGCTTTATCCCACTGCCTGATGGGTGCTTTCCCTTGGGAAGCCCCCAGGGTGGCCCTCAGAGGATGGGCAGTGGGAGGTCAGTCCAGCTGCTGCTGCTCCTCCTACTCTGAACTTCCCATCCTCTTTCCCAGCTTGGGGAAGACTCCGACTACGATAAGCTGAGTGACATGGTGAAATACCTCGATCTGGAGCTCCACTTCGGCACCCAGAAACCTGCTAGTGAGTGGCCTGATGGCCTTGGGGGAACCCCAGATACCAAACCATCTGTGGCAGCCCCAGGCTTAGCATCTCTGAGGGCTGCCCTGACTGCTATTTAACCTGATGCATCCTCAAGCCTTCAGTCCCTGAGTTATTTAATAGCTGGCATTTAGGCTGGGTTCAGTGGCTCATGCCTGCCATCCCAGCACTTTGGGAGGCTGAGGTGGGTAGATCTCCTGAGCTCAGGCATTCAAGACCAGCCCGGGCAACATGGCGAACCTCCATCTCTATCAAAAAGGCATGGTGGAGGATGCCTGTGGTACAGCTACTTGGGAGGCTGAGTTGGGAGGATCGATTGAGCCTGGGAGGTGGAGGTTGCAGTGAGCTGAGATCACACCACTGCACTCCAACCTGGTAACCTGGGTAATATAGACTGTCTCAAACAAACAAAAAGCTGGCATTTATTGCGCAGTGATCAAATACCAGGGACTCTCATTTCTAAATCTCATGGCAACTCTATCATGGAGACACTGTGATCACCCCCACTTCCTGATGAGGAAGCACAGAGAGGGGAGGTAATTTGCTCACGGTCACATCATAGACAGGAGGCATCCATAAATGTATCTTTCAGGCTCCCCTGCCCTCAGTCTTTCCTGGGTATCTCCCTGTCATTGCTGGGTGGAACAGCCAGTCCCAGGATAGAACAGAAAGGCCTGGCCTCCTGCAGTATGGAGGGTACACAGGGCACGGGGGGGGGGGGGGTTACACACAGCACCTGAGGGTCCCCGACCCCAGGAATGAGAGGACTATGGACATGTGTGGCTGATTAAATCGAGGTCGTGCTTAGGGGGAATCGTGGCTGTTGGCTGTGGCCGCACCACTCCTGGGCCTTGCCACCGAAACCTCAGCCTAGCCGCCTTCGTAAACTGTGAGTTTCCTTTCCAGAGCCGGTGCCGGGACCCGAACCTTTCCGGAAGAAGGAGGTGGTGGAGATTCTGTCCCACAAGAAGGCCTACAACACCTGTGAGGGTCCTGGGACCACCCCCTTAGGGGGTATAGAGGGCGGGCGGCGTCCGTTTCTCTGGGCCTCAGATCTGCACGGATGGATGACAGACATTAGGCGGTGGAGACCTGGACTCCTCTTGACTAGCGCGGTGAAGGCCCCCTCCCAGGCCCCGTAGCCAGCCAAATCCTACCTGGGCGCAGGTTCTGGCCCCGCCTCCAGCCTCCCCGCTCCCCTCCACAGGCCCCGCCCTAGTCCCTGGCCGGACGCCCATAGACCCCACCCTCCTTCTTGGTCTAGCGCGCCTCGAGAACCCCGCCCTCACTTTTTAATCGGTCGCTGAAAGACCGTCTCTATTCTGGGCCCGCCCCTGCCCTGGCCCCCTAGGGTACCCCTCGCAGGCCCAGTCCCCGTTCCTTGTCCCCTCCCTTCAGTCTCCGCCCTGTAGCTCGAGCCCATCTGGAAGCTCCGCCCTGGCCCCCCAACCCCCAGCTCAACTTGCAACCCCGCCCCCTTTCCTTGCTCCTCCCCCCGTCCTCCCAGTAGCCCAGGCCCATCCCGAAGCCCAGCCCTCTCCCTACAGGACCCCGCCCTCTTTCTACCGGGGCCTCACCCCAGTTTACCCGCAGACCCCTCCCTGTTTGTTGTCCCCAACCCATCTAGAGTTCCTCCAGTAGCCCAGGCCCCACCCCAGCTCTCCCTCGCGGTGGTACCGGCTTTCCTTGTCCCCTACCCCTTCAGACTCCCCGCTGTACCCTGGGCCAAACCTGGAAGCCCCGCCCTCTCCAGGCCCCTGCTCAGCGAGCGGCCCCGCCCCCTTACCGCCCAGGCTCCTCCCTTGGCCCCGGCCAATCCTGAAGCCCGTTCTCTCCCAACCCGGGACCCGCCTCAGCTCACCCTCTGGTGTCCTCCCCGTTTCTTGTCCCTCCAGCCTCAAGGCCCCGCCCTCTCCCCTGGGCCCCGCCCTCTTCCCCGCCCTTGCCCTGCCCTCTCCGTCCTGGATCCCATCCAGGCACCACCCCGGCCCCGGCCCCGGCCCCGCCCAGCTCACCGCCCCGCCCCTCCCGCAGCCATCCTCCTGGCGCACCTGAAGCTGAGCCCCGCGGAGCTGCGCCAGGTGCTGATGAGCATGGAGCCCCGGCGCCTGGAACCCGCGCATCTAGCGCAGCTACTGCTCTTCGCGCCCGACGCCGATGAGGAGCAGCGCTACCAGGCCTTCCGCGAGGCGCCCGGCCGCCTCAGCGAGCCGGACCAGTTCGTTCTGCAGGTGTCGCGGCCATAACCCTGCCCTAAGGCCGGCTCCATCGGGGCTGTAGCTGTGACCAGGGATGCTGGGGTCCCGCGCACCTTCAGGGGCCGCCATTGCGCCCAGGCCTCTGAGTCCCAGCTTAACACCTTAATAGCCAGGTCCTATCAGGGGTCCAAGGTACATGGGAGGCGGGCTCCCCCAGGGGTCGTGCTCATTCTTCCTACTGGAATATCGGGCCCAAGCAGCCAGCAGACTCCCACCCCAAAGCCTGCGGTGCGGCAGAGGGTCCCAGGCAGGGGATGGGTGAATCTGGCTCTGCCTTCGAGGCAGATGCTGTCCGTTCCCGAATACAAGACGCGCCTGCGCAGCCTCCACTTCCAGGCCACCCTCCAGGAGAAGACCGAGGAGATCCGAGGCAGCCTCCAATGCTTGCGCCAGGCCTCCCTGGAGCTCAAAAACAGCCGAAAGCTCGCCAAGATCCTGGAGGTCAGTGGGCATACCCTCCCTGGGGACTCTAACTGCTTCTCTGTCTCCTGGGGCTTCCTGCCTGAAGGCCCATCCAGACAGCAGGGTGGGTGGGTACTGGGGTGAGGACAGGACCTGCCCACCTTCTTGTCCACAGTTTGTGTTGGCCATGGGCAACTATCTCAACGATGGACAGCCCAAAACCAATAAAACCACCGGCTTCAAGATCAACTTTCTGACAGAGGTGAGGGGGCCAGCCGGCAGCAATTGCCTGATTTGCTCTACCAGCAAGGTGCTGATGCCAAGCCTAGCTCAGTTGTGGCAGAGGGCAAGAGAGGACATCGTGACCAAGGAGGGCTCTCCCCCTAGCAGGAAAAGGTGGCTGCATTGAAGCCAGGATGTGACTGTAGCAAAGGATGGGGTGGAGTAGGGGAACACACTCCCAGGATCTGGAAAATTGAGTGAGGGAAGGGAGTTGGAAAGGGAGTGTCAAAGGCTGGGGACTGGGCTGAGTGTGGTGACACATGCCTGTAATCCCAGCGCTTTGGGAGGCCAAGGTGGGATGATCGCTTGAGGCCAGGAGTTGGAGACCAGCCTGGACAACATAGCAAGACCCCAGTTCTACAAAAAATAATTAGCCAGGCATGATGCATGCATGGAGGCTGAAGTGAAAGGATCACTTGCGCCTAGTTCGAGGCTACAGTGACCTATGATGGAGCCATTGTACTCTAGCCTGGGCAACAGAGCAAAACCCTGCTTTTTTTTTTTTTTTTTTTTGAGATGGAGTCTCACTCTCCACCCAAGCTAGAGTGCAGTGGCACAGTCTTGCCTCACTGCAACCTCCACCTCCAGAGTTCAAGTGATTCTTTTGCCTCAGCCTCCCAAGTAGCTGGGACTACAGGTGTGCCACCATGCCCAGCTAACTTTTTAGTATTTTTTAGTAGAGATGGGGTTTCGCCATATTGGCCATGCTGGTCTCGAACTCCTGACCTCATGATCTATCTGCCTCAGCCTCCCAAAGTGTTGGGATTACAGGCGTGAGCCACTGCGCCTGGCTGACCCTGCTATTTAAAAAAAAAAAAAAAGAGAGAGAGAGAGAGACCAAGAATTGATCATAGATGCCACAGTAGTCCAGTAGAAGCTGAGCCCATGTGACCATATCTGATGGGGTCCTTGACCGGGATGTATATGGGGGGTCACTTGCAGCTGAACTCCACCAAGACAGTGGATGGGAAGTCCACCTTCCTGCACATCCTTGCCAAATCGCTGAGCCAGCACTTCCCTGAACTCCTGGGCTTTGGTCAGGACCTGCCCACCGTGCCCCTGGCTGCCAAAGGTATGCTGGGTGGGTCGGCAGGAGGACAAAGGCATACTGTCCTGGGCTGGGAGAGCAGCCCCACATGGCCTCTGTCCTCTTCCCTACAGTGAACCAACGGGCCCTGACCAGTGACCTGGCTGACCTCCATGGCACTATCAGCGAGATACAGGATGCCTGCCAGAGCATTTCCCCCTCCAGCGAGGACAAGTTTGCAGTGGTCATGTCGGCATCCTCTGAGCAGCCTGTCCCTGCGCCAGGCTGGATCCTGGGGTGGTTGGGTAGAACTGGCTATGGCTCCGGGGGCCACTGGAGACCTTGACTCCCAGCAGAGATTCTGGGCACAGGCTGCTGTGCACACAAGGGTCCTGAAAGAGGCTCTATCCTGTGTTATCGATGGATTGGTTAATTGATTGAGACAGGATCTCACTCTGTCACCCAGGTTACACCTGGCTAGTTTTTGTATGTTTAGTAGAGACAAAGTTTTGCCATGTTGCCCAAGCTGGTCTCAAACTCCTGGGCTTAAGTGATCTGCCTGCCTCAACCTCCCAGAATACTGGGTTTACAGCATGAGCTGCAATGCTGGGCTCCATCCTGAGTTATTTATTTTATTTTATTTTTTGAGACAGAGCCTTGCTCTGTTGCCCAGGCTGGAGTGCAGTTGTGCGATCTTGGCTCACTGCAGCCTCTGCCTCCTGGGTTCAAGCTATTCTTCCGCCTCAGCCTCCCGAGTAGCTGGGATTACAGGTGCCCACCACCGCACTCAGCTTATTTTTGTATTTTTAGTACAGATGGGTTTTTTTCACCATGTTGGCCAGGCTGTTCTCAAACTCGTGACCTCAGGTGATCCACCTGCCTCAGCCTCTCAGAGTGCTGGGGTTACAGGCATCAGCCACCATGCCCGGTTCTGGGTCATTTATAATCCAAGTGCTATGCCAAGTTTGTGTGTAACTGAAGCCAGAGCTCTTCTGAGTGCCCCAAAGCCACTGTCTCATCTGTCCTCTGGGGCAGTGGAGCCCAGAGCTAAGTCTCAAGATTACAAGGAGCAGCCTGTCAGGCCCTACCAGCCAAAGGCAGCCAGGAGGGTGGACATTCCCACTGAACCCCCCAGCCGGACCTGGCCAGTGGGCGACAGAAGCCCAGATGGGAAGACAGGAAAGAATGGCATGTGGCACTTCTCCCTGCTCCTGCTCTCTGGCTCCAACACCCCTTGGCAGGGAACACAGGGTCTTCCCTAAGGCTGAAGCTAGGTAAGGAGAAGAGCTCTCGGGGCTGTGCCTGTGACCAGTGCAGTGGGTGATGAAGGCCCCTGTAATGTATCTCTGATTGCAGCACATGGGGCTTGGTGGCGGCAAGTGTCTGAGTAGAAATTTGATGTCAGATCCACCCCCACCACTTCCTCTCAGGCAGGAGATCTACAGAGAATCACTAAGCAAACTCTGCAGGTTGGGCAAGGTGCTTCTCACCCCCATCTCCTTTCACCCACTTAACACCCACATGTTTTGCAGATGTGAAAACTGAGGCTGTTCAGGTGAGGGTTAGTCCACTCTATCATCCCTCAGTCCAGGGGTACTGGCCTGCTTCTTTGGGCTTGGAGGTCCCTAGAAAGAAGATGGATGGTCACATTCAAGGATAGCCTCTGGGCCAGGCGTGATGGCTCATGCCTGTAATCTCAGCACTTTGGGAGGCCAAGGGTGAGAGATTGCTTGAGACCAGGAGTTTGAGACCAGCCTGGGCAATATAGCAGGGCCGTGTCTCTGCAAAGAATTTGAAAATGAGGCTGGGTGCGGTAGCTCACACCTGTAATCCCAGCACTTTGGGAGGCCGAGACAGGCGGATGATCTGAGGTCAGGAGTTTGAGACCAGCCTGGCCAACATGATGAAACCTTGTCTCTATTAAAAATGCAAAAGTTAGCTGGATGTGGTAGTGCCTGCCTGTAGTACCAGCTACTCCAGAAGTTGAGGCACGATAATTGCTTGAACCTGGGAGATGAGGGTTGCAGTGAGTCGAGATTGCGCCACTGCATCCAGCCTGGGCGACAGGGAGACTGTCTTAAAAACAAAAAAAGAATTTGAAAATGAGCCCAGCATGATGGTGCATGCCTGGAGTCCCAGCTACTTGGGAGGCTGAGGCTAGAGGATCACTTGTGCCCAGGAGTTCAAGGTTGCAGTGAGGTATGATCACACCACTGCACTCTAGCTGGGTGACAGAGTAGCTGTCTCAAATATAAAAGGAAGGCAGGTCAGGTGCGGTGGCTCACACCTTTAATTCCAGCATTTTGGGAGGCCAAGGCGGGCAGATCACCTGAGGCCGGGAGTTCAAGACCAGCTTGGCCAACATGGTAAAACCCCATCTCTACTAAAAATACAAAAATTATCTGGGCATGGTGCCATGTGTCTGTAATCCCAGCTACTCCAGAGGCCGAGGCAGGAGAATCACTTGAACCTGGGAGGTGGAGGTTGCAGTGAGCCAAGATGCCACTGCACTCCAGCCTCGGCAACAGAGCCAGACTCAGTCTCCTGACTCATTTGCTTGCCTGCTGTGGGACTTTGGGCAAGTCACTTACCCTCTCTGAACCGTTTCCTCATCAGGAAAAAGAGAGGACATGAAAACCCCTACCACAGTGGTCATTACTTGATTATGATGCTAGTGGGTTCAACCATGGCTCAGGCACCACCGTGCTTGCTGTGTGATCTTGGACCAGTTGCTAAAGTCCTCTGTGCTTTAATTTGTTCGCATGTAAAATAGAGATAATCTACCTGGTAGAGGTGTTACGATTCAACAAGCTTGGAACAAAGCTTGGCACAGTTTTAAGTGCTGAAAAAACAATAGCAATTCAGCCACTGAATCTTTTTGCAGGACTGAGCATGTATCAGATGCTATTCTGAGCGCTGGAGTTGTATGCAGGGAACAAGCTTGCGCTTAAGTGGTAGGAAATGAACTTTGAACAATTTCAGATCACGACAAATGCGTTAGAAAAGAGGGTAAGGCCTAAGGCCAGGTGCAGTGGCTCGTGCCTGTAATCCCAGCACTTCGGGAGGCCAAGGTAGGAGGATCACTTGAGCCCAGGAGTTCGAGAACACCCTGGGCAACATAGACCCAATCTCTATTTTAAAAATCAAAAAATTAGCTGGGTATGGTAGTGTGAGCCTCTGATCCCAGCTACTTGGGAGGCTGAGGTGGGAGGATCATTTGAGCCTGGGAGGTAGAGGCTGCAATGACCTGTAAGCCATGAATATGCCACTGCACTCCAGCATAAGCCACAAAATAAGACCCAGGCTCAAAAAAAAAAAAAAAAAAAAAGTAAGTTCTAGAGAGTGACAGGTGACAGAGGGACTGTAAGTGGGTAGTTGGGGAAGAAGGTGGCAGTGGAGGCCTCTGATCAGAGACCCATGGAAGAGAGCCTGCAGAACGAGCAGGGGTGAAAGGCCTGAGGCTGGACTGGCTGCAGCCAGTTGCAGGACGTGCTTAGTGGCCAGTGGGACTGGAGTCCCTGAACAGGGCCCTGTTCCCCATTGGACACAGGGCCTGGCCTCGGAAGGACTTAGGCTAAGTAGGAGTGGGGCAGCTAGGGGTCTGTCTGTCTGGGGCCACCACCCAAGACCCCGAGGGCACTGGCGGGCTGGCTGTTTCCTTAACCCAGGCCTGTCAGTCCTTCTTAGAGACGGCCCAGCCAGCGCTTCGGGTGCTGGACGGGCTGCAGCGCGAGGCCATGGAGGAGCTGGGCAAGGCGCTGGCCTTCTTCGGGGAGGATTCCAAGGCCACCACCTCTGAGGCTTTCTTCGGTATCTTTGCAGAATTCATGAGCAAATTCGAGGTGAGCACCAGTGGAGACCTGAGGGTCGCTTTTGGAGAGGTGGGAGCCAGAGGCCAAATGAAGGGATCCTCAATGAGGCCAGGGCTGGAAAAGGGTACCCAGTGAGCGACATGTCTCCCTAATCCCCTGATGGGGTGGGTTGCAGCCTCAGTGCTGGCTGTCTAGGGTAGGAAGAGGCAGGGAAGGTGTCGCAGGCTCCTGGGAACACTGACCACCCCCTACCCCTGTATTTCCCCTCCCCAGCGAGCGCTGAGTGACCTGCAGGCCGGGGAGGGCCCACGCAGCTCCGGGATGGTTTCACCCCTGGCCTGGTGACAGTGGCCACACCACATCCTCTGTGGCCTGAGCAGGGAGATGGAGGCCGAGAGGGCGGCCCAGACACTGCTGAGGTCTGTGGCCTCTGCGCCCCAGGCTGTGAGCACACCTTCAGCCTCTCCTGCAGCTACCTCAGCCGCTGAGCTGTCGCCGGGCCTTCCTCTGCCAGCCCTTGTTCCTACCCCCAGGCCCGGGGCCAGATGCCCTAGGAGTGGGCTCTGAGTGTGCCTGCACTGGGAGGACTGCGCCATCGGCTTCCTGGGGCCACTTCCCGCCTTCTCCCGGGCTGTCGGGGGGCCTGGAGTGTGGATTACAAAGTGGCCACATTCCTAGGACATGCAGACCGTCTTTCTGATCCTGCTCCTAGCAGGTTCCTGCGAGGAGGCCAACACCCTTGAGCACCACCCTGCAGGCAGGCACAACCCAACATAGAGGGGCCCTGGGGACGTACATGCCCAGCCTGGGCCTTGGAAGCTGGCTGCAGAGGCACAGGAAGAGAGAGGCCAGGGAGCGACGCAGGGAAGGAGGGGCTGGAGGAGGAAGACCCCCTATGTCACACTGCAGAATTGAGGTTTCATGCAGTGGACATGAAACCTCTGTAGAAGGTGGACACCTTCTACGGAGGTGGCCCGATTGAAAGTGGGGAGACTGGGAGGGGACTAGGCATGGTCAAGGTAGAGCAGACAGAATGGGGAGGTAAGGCAGGAGGTGAGCAGGATCTGGTGGCGGACTGCCAGACTTCTCACCCAAATGGATGGTGATGCTCCCTGGAGCAAGTCATGAGACCAGGGCAGGTCTGGGGGCAGATGACACAATCTGGGATGTATTTGGGACCCAAGTGGCCACTTAAATGTGCCTAGGCATACAGCAGGAATTACCTGGATGCCAGGAGCAGGAGCAGGTGGTGTGGTGGGCAGGGAGGGAGGGTGTGGGACTGGTTTCACTTTTTTTATTCTCTGATTGGCAGATCCTTGCATCAGACAGCTTCCCCCATTGCACCTTTCTTTTGTTTCCCCCTGGAAAAGTCTGAAATGGGCTTTAATCCTGTCTTTTGGATTCTTTTTCTCCCGCTGCAATCAAATGGCTTACATTGCACCTGGGCAGTAGTGGGGACCTGTTCAGTCCTTCCTAGTCCCCCAGGCCCCTTTTTGAAGCCATCTTTTTTTGTTTCTTGCACACAGCCACTATACAAAAACATCAAGACCAAAATATATACTGCAAGGGGGATGTGGCTAGTGGGATTCAGTTCTCCCCAGCAGCTCAAGTGGAATCGTTTCCGAAAGTTTGCAGTGCCCGTGCCTCTGAGAAACATGTCAGGAAGTCAGTTAAAACCTCTACAAGCCAGGCGAGGTGGCTCATACCTGTAATCCCAGTACTTTGGGAGGCCGAGGCGGGCAGATCACCTGAGGTCAGGAGTTCAAGACCAGCCTGACCAACACAGTGAAACTCCGTCTCTACTAAAAATACAAAAAATTAGCTGGACATGGTCGCACATGCCTGTAATCCCAGCTACTTGGAAGAATGAGGCAGAAGAATTGCTTGAACCCCCCGGGGTAGGGCGGAGGTTGCAGTGGGCCAAGATCCCACTACTGCACTCCAGCCTGAGCGACAGACTGAGACTCCATCTGAAAAAAAAAAAAAAAAAAAAAAAAAAAAAAAAAAAAAAAAACCCTGCATGAGATCTGTAGAGATTATAGATTCCAACAGGCTTGATCTTCAGGCCTGGTTAGCCCATATGGCATTTTCCTGCAAGTTAGAAACACATGTCCCTTCCAGGAGACCTAATCTCTTGATTGCATAGTGTGGCAGGCCAAGCACCAGCTAGGTTTTCTCCCTCACTTGCCTTGTATTGGTTATCTGTTTGCTACAACAACGCTGTGTAACAAACTGTCCCAAAACTCACTGGCTTCAAACAGCAATCACTTACTGCTCATGAGTCTATGGGTCCCGGTTCTGATCTGAGCTAGGCTCTGCATCCTCAGCCAGCTGTGAGTCAGCTAGGCAGCTTTGATAATCACACCAAGCAATCTCGTGTCTGGTGCCTTTGGCTGGAAAAGCTGTGAAAGCCCTGAAGGGTCTCTCATTTTGCACCCAAATAGCCAGGATTCTTTTCATGTGGGAAGGTGGGGTGGGGGGGTGTCAAAGAGGGTGAACAAGCCAAGGCACAGAAGATGGCTTGAGGCTGAGGCTCAGAGCTGGTATACTGTGCCTTCTGCCACAGTCTGTTGTCCTTCCAAATGATAGGGCCAGCCCCGATTCTAGGGGAAGGGAAACAGGCTCTGCTGGATGATATCACAAAGCCACTCCACACAGAGTGTGATTCAGGGATAGATGGAGAATCAGGGCCATTTTTGCAATTAATCTACTACATGCTCTGTTGGCCAGGGTGCAGGTTCCAGGCTCCTTAAAATTCCCAATGGCCCTGGTGCTGCCTGGACCCAGCACAGCTCTGGTTCCCCATCCCCATATACCCGCCAGGTGGCATGCTTCTGTCTGTCTTACCTGGTCGCCCACCCAGGAATTACATTACTTCTCTCCAGTTACTTAGTGTAGGCTGGGTGCAGTGGCTCACACCTGTAATCCCAGCACTTTGAGAGGCTGAGGTAGGCAGATCACTTGAGGTCAGGAGTTTGAGATCGGCCTGGCCAACATGATGAAACCCTGTCCCTACTAAAAATACAAAAATTAGCCAGGTGTGGTGGTGGGCACCTGTAATCCTAGCTACTCGGGAGGCTGAGGCACAAGAATTGCTTGAACCTGGGAGGTGGAGGTGGCAGTGTGCCGAGACCGTGCCACTGAACTCCAGCCTGGGTGACAGAGGGAGACTCTGTCTCATAAATAATAATAATACATAAATAAATTAAATAGATACTTAGTCCAGTGGGCAGTGTGGTCTGTGCCTGCCTGGCAACCAGTCTTGCCCTTCTTCTGGGAAAGCTTCCTGTTTCTCCTCTGAGAAATTATTCCTCCTCTACTCCTAGGCCCTGGAGCTGGGGTGATTGGATAAGGATGATCCTGTGATTCTGGCTGCATGGCTCAGAGTCAGTCCAAGCCTCCAGCTGGCACTGTTTGAAAAAGAGATTCCCCAGGCCAGGTCCAGCGGCTAACGCCTGTAATCCCAGCACTTTGAGAGGCCAAGGCAGGAGGATCACCTGAGGTCGGGAGTTCAAGACCAGCCTGACCAACAGAGAGAAACCCCGTTTCTACTAAAAATACAAAATTAGCTGGGCGTGGGGGCGGGGACCTATAATCCCAGCTACATGGGAAGCTGAGGCAGGAGAATCACTTGAATCCAGGAGGCAGAGGTTGTGGTGAGCTGAGATTGCACTACTGCACTCCATTGTGGGCAACAGGAGTGAAACTCTGTCTCAAAAAAGAAAGAAAGAGATTCCCTTTGCTCTGGAATTTCTGGATGTAAAGAAGCTTGAAGTCAGGAGGGGCTGCCAAGACCACCACATGAAGGGCACCTGCCTGGATATAAAGCTAGTACAGGAGAGAAAAAGAGGAGAGATTGCCATATACATCCCACCATCCCTGGATCCAGCCATACCTGAAGCACACACTGCACTTGTCAGTCTTCAAACCAACAGATTCCCCTTTGGTTAAAAAAAAAAAAAAAAATTAATGTATTTAAATTTCCTGGCTTAGGCTGGTTTGAATGGTTGCTATTACTTACAACCCTGAAAGGGTTAACTAACAGACCCATTAACAGATGCTGAGAAATATTCAGTCTTTTTAACACGCTCAGTGAGCACTCTACCTTCATACACACATTGGCCAATGCTTTTTTTTTTTTTTTTTTTTTTTTTTTTTTTTGAGACAGTTTCGCTCTTGTTACCCAGGCTGGAGTGCAATGGCGCGATCTCGGCTCACCGCAACCTCCGCCTCCTGGGTTCAGGCAATTCTCCTGCCTCAGCCTCCTGAGTAGCTGGGATTACAGGCATGCGCCACGATGCCCAGCTAATTTTTTGTAATTTTAGTAGAGACGGGGTTTCACCATGTTGACCAGGATGGTCTCGATCTCTTGACCTCGTGATCCGCCCGCCTCAGCCTCCCAAAGTGCTGGGATTACAGGCTTGAGCCACCGCGCCCGGCTTGGCCAATGCTTTTTAATTGCCTGCTGTATGCCAGGGGCATTGCTGGGTACAAACATCTTAGAAAGCAGCCTCTCTGAATTTGGTTACCTGAGTTATGTTTTATGGTAGTTTTACCCCAGAGTCGGTGCAAAGCCCTGTAGGTGAGTCAGTGTCTGTACCATATCCACCCTAACCCCTAGGATGTCATCCTCACCAGATGACAAGGTGTGAATGCAGGCACTTATGCCTGAGGAATTCATTTATCTCCAGTAATACTAACAAAATAATGTAGCCTAATTATCCACCACCTTTCCAGATAGTAATATCAGTTAATGTTTATTAATTAGTGTGCTCAGTGTTTTTATGGATTTCATTTCATTTTACTTTCACAAAAACCCTCCAGGGTGGGTTTTGTTATCTCCTTTTTGCAAATAAAACTCTAAAACTCAAGAAGGTTATGTGACTTGCTGGATCTAAAACTGAAGTCTGTCTAAATCCAAAAGTCCCATCCTGTGAGTGGAAATAGCATATACAGACACACGCGCGCGCGCGCGCACACACACACGCATATATATACACACACATATGCACTCCAAGGCTCTAAGGGCCACAGATGCTGGGGATTTCAACACAAAACCCTTACTTCTTTTCTCTCTTCCTGTTCCTCCCTCTATTTGTTTGCTAGGGCTGCTGTGATAAAATACCATAGACTGAGCAGCTTGAACAGAAGAAATGAGTTTTCCCACAGTTTTGGGGGTTGGAAGTCCAAGATCAAACTGTCGGCAGGTTGGGTTTCTCTGGAGGCTGCCCTCCTTGGCTTGCAGACAAGCTTTCTACCTGTGTCCTTACTTGATCTTTTCTTCCTGGCATTCCTTCTCCACCACCTCCTCCTTGTCTTCTCCTTCTTCTTCTTCTTCTTCCTCCTTCTCCTCCTTCCTTCCTTCCTTCCTCCTCCTCCTTCCTTCCTTCCTCCTCCTTCTCCTTCTTCTCCTTCTTCTGCTTCTGCTGCTGCTTCTTCCTCCTCCTCTTCTTCTTCCCCCTCGTCCTCCTCCTCCTGTCTCCCATCTTCCTCTTCCTCCCTCTTCGTCCTCCTCCTCCTTCTTTCCTTATTTCTTCCTCCTTCCTTCTACCTTCCTCCTCCTCTTTTTTCTTCTTCCTCCTCTTCTTCCTCCTTCTTTCTTCTCCTTCCTCCTTCCCCTCCTTCTTCTTACCCTTCTCCTCCTCCTCTTCCTCTTCCTCCTCTCTTCTTTTTCTTCTTCCTTCCCTCCTTCCTTCTCTTCTCCTCCTCCCCTTCCTCCTCCTTCTCCTTCTCCTTCTTTCTCCTTCTCCTTCCCCTTCCCCTTCCCCTTCTCCTCCTCCTTCCTTTTCATAAAGACAGGGCCTTGCTCTGTCACCTAGGCTGAAGTGCAGTGGTACAATCATGGTTCACTGCATGATTGCAGTAAACACCAAGTAATGCAAACACATGGAGGATTGCTTGTGGGCTCAAGCAATCCTCTCACCTCAGCCTCCCGAGTAGCTGGGACCACAGGCATGTAATGCCATGCTTGGCTATTTTTTTTTTTTTAACTTTTGTAGATATGGGGTCTTGCTATGTTGTCCAGGCTTCTGCCTCTTCATATAAGGAAACCAGTCCTATTGGATTAAGCCCCCATTTAACCTTAATTACCTCTCTCCAAATACATTCACATTCTGAGATATTGGGGGGTAGGACATCACATATGGATTTGGTTGTTGGCAGAGAGTGATACAATTCAGTCTGTAACACCCTCTTTTCAGGTGCCAAAGGTATAATAGTCCTAGTCTCAAGGAGGCCTTCAAGATCTCTGCATGAGCTGATGATGCTTCACAGAGAAAAGATTCTGTCAGGCAGAGGCAGCAGGCAGTGGCTCATGCCTGTAATCCCAGCACTTTGGGATTAAAGTGGGTGGATCACTGAGGTCAGGAGTTCAAGACCAGCCTGGCCAACATGAAAACCGGTCTCTACTAAAAATACAAAAAATTAGTTGGGCATAGTGGCAGAGGCCTGTAATCCCAGCTACTCAGGAGGCTGAGGCAAGAGAATCACTTGAACCCAGGAGGCAGAGGTTGTAGTGAGCTCAGATTGTGCCGCTGCACTCCAGCCTGGGAGACAGAGCAAGATTCCATCTCAAAAAAAAAAAAAAAAAAAGATTCTATCAGATAGGATTTTCCCACCTTGTGCCTCTTGTACAAACTCGTATGCATCTGCTCCCATCCTCATCACAGGGCATCCAGGCCTCCCTCCCCACTCCTCCAATTCGGAGCTAATTCACTGTTTATG